TTAATAACTCGGCGATAAAACATAACTGTGAAGAAAACGAGTTAACGAAGATTGCACTCTGCACATCGCAAAGGTCGGCGCTTGGAAAATGGTTATAATGTAAGCCAAGGCCCATTTAGCTGACTGAACCGTGCTCTTCGTCACGTTTAACTTCACTCTTCAAATCTTTCTTGCGGTATTTAATTGGTTAAATGTAATTTTGAGGTATATATAGGTGGATAAAGAAATGGTCCTTGAAAAGTGTAAAACAACGCAGTTTTACTATTTGAGAGAATAGGAGCAGGTGTTTCATACTATTGTCTGTCGTGAGGAACTGTTCTGTTAATCTGTGTACAACTAAATGACCATATTTTGGGGGTCAAGTCAGCATTTTTCATTCGAGAACTTATTCATAATAAATAACTAGTAAAGACTTATCCTAACTTTACTAAGAAGTCCATTTTTGATATACGAATCTAGAACCAACATTAGGGCGATTCAAATCATTATTAATGTTAATAATTCTGAAATATTTCAGTAATCATTACATAATTCTATATGTACCTACTTATCAAGAGCAGAATTAAAAATAGTCACGTCTTGACTATATTTTAATAATTTAAACATTATAATAAAAAGTATTAATTGACAACGATTATAACCTCTCGTAACTATGGAAAATCCTAGTTCCGTAACCGATTCAATAGAATTCCAAGCAAAGTGCAAAGGTAAAAACTAAAAAAATCTGTTTTTATAATGATTATGCAGGTACGAATACTAGTTTACCGAATTTTTTAGTTATAATGTCAAAGTTGATAATTTTTACGTATAACAAATTGATTTAATATGAATGGTTTTTGGAGCATTGAGCTGATATTGTCTAATACATGAATTGAATTGAATTTTTAACGAACCAAACATTGAGTACACAATTGTAAAAATGTTATTGTGAACACGAATTGGACGGTTTATTCACGGCACACTCAGAGTCCAAAGTCCATCATTGAGTGTTTCCAATGCGTGAAACTTATTACATCAACATTTATAAATAACTAAGGGAAAATGCTTGTCAAGGAATTGGACTGTATAAACTAGGTTCAATAGTAAAGCATATTGGTTTTTTCTCATCAATTTACTGATACATCTTCCCCAACACGAAAGAGACTTTATAGACATGAATGTACTTTTATTTTGCTGAGACTATATTTCATGGGATGCCGAACCACCTGGTGTCTTTTTCTTACTTGAAGTTGCTGAACTATCTGTTCGCAAAGATCCTCCATGTACATTGTGTTCGGGGTGTGTCATTAACTGGGGCAACCTTTGTCAAAGTTCGTACCTGGATGTCCCATACGCCGGACAGTCCAGCATGTGGAGCGATGACAAACAAGGTTTATATAATGTTGTGCAATACACGTACAACAATATTAAGTTATTCACCATAAACCAATTGTGGATAAATCAGATTAGGGTCTTACGAAACTATATAATTTAATTATGACGTCTCTGTTAAAGAAATTCATTTCAAAACAGATTTATTTTTAATTTATTTCTTTTGCATATTATTTGAAAGTGAAATTTTCATACATTTTCGCAGTTGCAGAAATTCTCTAGGCTGTTCTAATTAGAGCAGTCTCAATAACGGGGCTTATTGCTTTATCTAGGGTACTCAAAATAATTTCTTGAATAAATTATGAAGAAAAACTTAAAACCCAGTTGACACTGGCAATATTTATGTAGATTTCGAGTAAACCGTAATCTTAATATAATTTTTATTATTGTTTTTAAGAAATTTTATTTTTTGATTTAGAGGGGTATTAAATAAAAACAAGTTTGTGGGGTCCCACCTTTCCCCGGCCGCCATCTTGGAAAAAGGGGTCCTAAAACCACGTTTTTGCTATATCTCCTAAACTATCCATCTAATAAAACTTGTAAAGACACATTTTGTAGCAAATCGCTGTGTTACATTATGTCTATGTAATTTTTATCATAAATCCAAAATTCAAAAAGTTATAAGTAAAAAAGTGAAAACATTTCCTATTTCTAAAGTTGACTAGGTGCGTCAATGCTCATGACAAGCCATCAAGACAGCAGTTTTACCTTACTTTTAAGATTCTCTCGTTTATTTTAAACAAATTTTCCAAATATTTTTTTTATTTTTTTATATTCCTACAATTTTACTTATTGGTATTCCTTAGTAGGCCTATTCCACAGACAACTTGCTGATATGGTAATCATCGACATAATTATATTATCAATCAGTTATTAGAATGGTAGCTAGCTATCACTTTTTTATTTATAACTTTTTGAATTTTGGATTTATGATAAAAAGTTACATAGACATAATCGTAGACACAGCGATTTGCTACAAAATGTGTCTTTACAAGTTTTATGTACGATGGATAGTTTAGGAGATATAGCCAAAAACGTAGTTTTTGGACCCCTTTATCCAAGATGGCGGCGGGGGGACAAGCACGGCAACCCCACAAACTTGGAGTTAAGCTTGTATTGACCCCCCCTACATGTTCCATAAATAAAATTGCGTCCTCTAAAAAACGCAACCCCAAATGTAACTTTTCAATGGACTAGTAATCTTAATATAATTCTTATTTACTTATTAGAAAAAGGTACATATTTGACATTACTCAAAACCATATCTTAACTAATAATATTAAAGGTAGTTCAGTTCACACGTTCATTTTTTTTAGTTTATTCAATTTTAAATACATACCCTAGAGACGATAAACTTTACAAAGTTCATAAAATTAGATAATTAAGATGGTGATTTTACTCTTATGCCGCATCGCAGTCAGTTAATAATAAAAAACATATTAATGTGGCTGGTAACCCTATTTGTAACTTTCAAATTGTTTCGGACTTTGTACTGTGATGTCAGCAGTAATTGAGCCGACCAAAGGTTATTTTTTCGATTTCAGACTCAGTTACTAAAACGTAACAAGCTATTTAAATGTCTAGAAAATTGTTATTCACAATTTTATATTATAATTACGCAATTGTCTTGCGAAACTTTTAAAACACTGACAAAGCAGTAACCAATTTCTATTTTCAGCAAAATATTAAGGTAAAAATAATATTGAGTTAATTAAGCAAATTTAAATGTCGCAATTCTACCATCTACGCTGCAATTTAAAAATTCACCTGAAACAACATTATTTGCAATAATTGTCTGTTAACATATTCTGCTAACAAATTTGCCTGTTTGCTTTGTCTGCTTATAATTTCTAAATTGTAATCAAATATTACATGTACCAGACTAGGCAGTTAATAAAATGCTCTGTTTAATCTTTGATCTCGTTTCTTTACACTACGCCTTTAGTAACCAAGGTTCTTTGTTGCAAGGCGATGTCCTAGCTATAAACTAACACGGTGTGTCACCGGTGAGAGGGGCCAAAGTCCATTTGCCTGTACCATGCGGTCCCCACGTGTGCACTGCGTGATCGTGTGTAGCATTATTGGAAAATACATGCTATTCCATGCACTTAAGAGCCCTTATCGAGAGCAGTTACAATTTTGAACTTCCGACCGAAATGTGTTTTGAGAGAGAAAGTAAACGCGGTGGAGTTGGGAAAAAATATATTCGTAAAATCTAATAAAAGAACAATCGATAATTTTGTTTGTCTAGAATGCACATTAGCAGCTAATCATTATAGTGATAGTAGTAGTAAATAAGTAATTGCCTTAGAGTGTCTAGACTTTAATATCATATATAATCATTATACCTATTCGCTTAAGTTTTATACCTTAAAATTTTATAATCACTTTTATTTTACCGCGTTTATTTTCTTGAAACGGCACATAAAATATATAATATCAAGATTTGTTCATGACCATCTCAATGCTTACCTAACGTGGCAATCTTGGTCCTTTTTTAAGAGCATCACAACAAAGGATTTTGTATCTCACTGATTGAATTTACAGTTAAGCCGTTAACGTGTTACACTGTCATTAACATTTAAATCTATTTATCTAATAATAAATACGGTAATTGAATAATAATATCGTGATTTATTTCCTATGAATAAAATTGTATTAAATTTATTTATTGATTATATTCTCGAGCTAGAGATATTTTGTACCTATTCTCCTGGATGAGTTTATCGTCAGTACTTGAAGTCTATTCAAGTATATTTTAAGTCCAAAAGACTATGATAACTTGTTTGGACTGTTATAATTTAAACACTACTTGGAATGTGTGCTTGATAAAATACCTACTTTGATTGAAATTAATTCTAGATTAAAACGCCCCAGATTCGTTTTATAATGCATTCGTAGGCATTGGATTACTGCCAAAAGCACGTGTACTTGATGTTGAGCAGATAATATAAGTGTGTAATCAAAGAATTTTAATTTTGTTAGCGCGATAAAAATTTACTGTTACCTAGGTTAGTTATTATGTGATTTAATAACAATACAGTATACCTAGATATTACGACTATGTATATAGGTATACATAGCTAAAGAAACAAAAAAGTTTGTATGGATTATAACTATTTTTACTTTAATGGAATTCAGAATAACCAAATATTCATTAAATCAGTAAATGCTAAAATCAAGAAACAAGTCGCGTAACACGTATAGGTGAACAATGCCGAGTCCAAAGTCCGCAAGGTAAACGGAGTGACGTTGCAAGCACTATTAGCTAGCCGCTACATAACACGTTTTAATTTTTTATCAATACTCGGCTATTTAAAACTTATTATTAGAGAAACCGTGGTGTAATACAATTGTTTAACATTTGGGATCATCGTTTTGAAATTCGCGCTGAACGCCAGCTGTTGTGATCTCAGATGTGCTTATAATACATACAAGATGTGGTGCTAAAGTTTACAATAAACAAAAGCCCTTAAGATTTGTTCATAGTGTTGCGATTTATCTCAAACTTGTGTAAAGATACTAGTGCATTTCAGCTATAACTATAACTATTTAGCTGGTTATATTTTGCTCTCACACCTGAATTATTTCTAGGAATAATACTAAAATAGAATGAGAATAAAACTTACCCTTTCCAATAATTGCTGTCCAATGGCGTTGTTGTCCACCTTAACTTCCAAAATCACAGAATTAGGCTGGCTAACTAACCACATTTTGCTAAAAATCTTGGCGAAAACCGAAAACGTAAATTAGGTCTCGAAGCGTTATTCAGTATCAACTAAGTAAACACTAGATTTATAGTTTATCTCACACGCGTAAAGAATTTATTTAAAAAAGTTTTTCTTAATTCGCTCTGTGAAATGTTTATCGCGTATTCTTTGTGGAAGTAAAACTGTGAATAACTCCCGACGACGGCCATACTATGTTAAGTTTGCCACCGAAATGATAAAGAAATTGTGACGTGACGCTCGCCGATCGTGAATAGAATGTACAAATAATTATACGCGATAACATCTTATTTCGTTACATACATCGCCGCTTTAGGCAAAAGTTACACAGACAGGAACGTCAGCGATACAAAGCAATGTATGTAAAATGCACAACAAGTCATGTTTTAATTTATTTTATTCAATTTATATTGCATCTACTCTTTCGTAAATTTAGTACGGTTAGAACGAGAGGTAGAATCTATGACGAACCTTTCTATGTCATTATTAATATTAGGTCCTTACATATGAAATTGGCGTTTTGTATGGGAGGAACAAAAAGTCGAATATTTTTAATTATAATATATTTAATTAATCAAAGTATGAACCATTGTTTTCTATGCAGTTTTGCCATCTCATAGGTAGTTCATTGATCCCTTTACTAAAAAAACCAGTCGGACGGGAATCAATAAAATCTGTGAAGGCGATTTGGACTGCCCCATCAGAGTTAAATTTTTTCCCAGTTGTCCAAATTTCGAAAAAAATGGTAATCTGTTGGAGCAAGGTCCGGGGAGTACGAAGGATGTCTTAGACATTCCAATAGAAGCTCTTTTAATTTGGTAGCCGTCTGTTGTGCAGTGTGTGGTCTAGCGTTGTCGTGAAGTAGCAGTGGCGTGGAGCGATTGACCAGCCTAGGTTGTTTAGCCACTAGCTTTTCCATCATGGTTTGCAATTGCTGACAATAGACATCAGCCGTAATAGTCTGGCCAGATTTGAGAAAACTGCAATGAACATTACCGGCACTAGTCCACCAAACCCTTACAAGTAACTTTTTTGGGGTTAATTTTCGCTTGGGGCAGGATTTGGCTGGCTGGCCAGGATCCAACCATTGCGATGAACGCTTCCGATTATCGTAAAGAATCCATTTTTCATCACAGGTAATGATTCTGTTTAAAATACTTTCATTATTGTGCCGGTTTAGTAATGTAACGCAGCAGTCGACGCGCGTTTGCCGGTTTGCTTTAGTCAATTCGTGAGGTACCCATCTTTCAAGCTTTTTAATCTTCCCAATTTGCTTCAAGTGAATTAAAACAGTTTTATCACTAACACCGCAGCCTGCAGCTAACTCGGACGTGGTTTGCGATGGATCCGCTTCCACAATAGCCTTCAATACTTCATTATCAACTTGGGTCTCAGGCCGTCCACGGGGCTTGTTCTGCAGGTCGAAATTTCCAGAACGAAAACGTTGGAACCAAAAACGAACTGTGTTTTCTTTTGCAACATGACCGCCATACACATCATTCTCCCTTCGAGTCGCTTCCGCAGCACTAGTGCCACGGCGAAACTCGTACCTACTCGTAAATAATGCGATACTTTAAGTTTTCCATTTTGTAAAATGAGTGACGCAAACAGAAAAAAACAGAAGAAAAAACAAATGAATGACGGTCATCGAAGCACAAATACATGAGTAAATAGCTGTACAAATTAGAATTTGGAATTCCTTACCAAAGAGGAGAACATCGTCATTAAAGTGGCCAGTACGAAATACGCCAATTTTATATGTAAGGACTTAATATTTATCGTTTTATAATATATACTGAAAAACAAGTAAGGGTAAGTTCAGACTCTGAATAATTCTGAGTTTTAAGTACCTAGCCAGAATATTGATTTGGCCAGATTTCGGTCCGAGAATAATATTAGCGACGTTATTCTTTTATATTGATTTTAAATAGTTAATACACATTATATAAAATATTCTATTTATATAACCGTTTTTATATATTATTAGGAAACCAAAGATTAGAGTGTAGGTATTAGATTTTAAAATCTACTGAGTTAGGTTAGTTTAACAAGTCCGTTCCGCACGAAGTCTCGAAATAAAAGTGAGTCAACGCCGGTGTTGCCACGCTTTATATAGGTTTCTGCTACAAAATGGCGTTAGTCCGCTAACAATATTGTATAAGCCATGCAAAAAAATACACTGTCATTATTTTTAATGAAGTACTAGTCAAAATATTTTTTTTAAAATTTGTTTTTAATCTTTTTCGTCTTTTGTTAAAACAAGAGTTAAAAATAGAAATTAGATTCTTAAAATAACTTAAGCTAAGCATAGATACAAGTACTGACGATTCTTCATGGTGCATTGCCTAACCATTACCATCTTGTATTGATGATGTAGGTATCGTTCCGTAATCGCATTGATGATTTTTCTAGATATTTTAACGTATATTTCATTAAAAGAAAGAGCGAAGTATTAAGCGTCTTTAAGAACTATAAAAATGAAGTTGAGATGCAATATCAAAAAAAATCGCTACAATCTGATTAAACGGTACCAAAAACATTAATAAAGAATTTAATAATTCCTTATCTGCAAATGGAATAAATAAGACACATTACTACTTATAACCGACAACAAAACAGCATGTGATAGAAAAAATCAGAACTCTATTAGACAAAGCTAAATGATTGTTATTAAAGGCAAATGCCCCACTAAAATTACGGGCTGAAGTGATTGCAACTGCAAATTATTTAGTTGAAACACCATCTGGGAAACACCTGAATGTATTGGGCGAAAAACATTTGTTTTGAAAAAGAAAGTAACATTTTCCGAAAATGCGATAGAAGGCATGCTGCTAGGATACTCTCTAATTTTTAAGACCTACAGAGTTTATATACCAGAAAACAATAAAGTTGTGATAAGCAGAGATGTTAAAAATCAAAATAAAACTTATCAGAACCTTGTAATGAAAATGCGGAAGAGTGTGATATCGGAAAAACACGATACTGAAAAGAAAATATATGTTAAAAAGAATACACATACCACAGATAGTAAATCGAAATTGAGGAAACTACTCACCAATAAATTCATCAAATACAAACCATCAAGATACATCAGATCATCAATCACACACAGACGAGTCGGAATATGAATCAGGATATGAATAAAATGAAGAAATATCTGACGTCATAGAGACACCTGTAAATGGAAGAAAGACGTCCACCAGCTTGGACTAATGACTATGTGGTAAATAATGAAGATATAACATCATAGGAAGTCGGTAAACTATCTGATAAAAATTAAAATCTATTAAAAATTGAAGATGAAAAGTAGAAAATAAAACCAACAGGATAAAAGAAGAAATTATAAAATGATTTTAAAGAACGAATAATAATCAAATAGATTAGTTGCTCGAGGATTTACTCAGCGTCCACGAATTGATTTTAATGAAACGAATGCTCCCGTTGCAAAACTAAGTACAATAAGGTCTATATTTGGATTAGCTATGGAAAAAGATTTAAATTTGAACCAAATGGATGACACAACTTCATTTACATAAAATTTAAAAAAAAATTCATGAAATTTACAAATTATATAGGAACTTATTTGAATGAAATCATGGTTGAAAGTAAAGGAAAAGATGACAGTTTATATCATAAAACAAAAAGGAGGAGTAAAAACAATCATCGCCGTGTATGTAGATGATATTATGTTAATTGCTTCCTCATGTCCAAAAGCGCTGGGAAATATAAAAGATCTACTTAAAACTAAATTTAGGAAGACGAAACGAATGTTCGGTATGGATATTTACTAAAAAGACGTAGAAATTAAATTAAACCAAGAGACTTTCATAGAAGACAGCTTAAAGATATTTAACTAAAATATCGCCTACACCCCTGGAGGTAGGTCTTATATTAACAAAAACTAAATTGTAAGAACAACTGTCACCTTTCATACAAAAATCTAATTGGAACTCTCGTGTACCTGGCAATAGCCAGGAGACCAGATATTATGTTTGCCGTAAGTTATTTGTCTCAATTTAGTTAATGTTACGAAGAATTTCAAAAGCGGTTTCAACAGCGGAGCCTATTACAGTTACACTTACTGAAGCTGCAAAGGAAGCCATACATTATAATCCTTGTTCAGCGCTTAAATGTAAACATTGATTGCATAAGAATTTGTGTGATAACCAAGTACCATTAAAGTTAAGCCAAATAGATATGGTAACGTCGAAATCGAAACATATCGACTTAATCCTCGCTTCATCCGGAATTTGATTGAGGTGTAATAGAAGTAAAGTGAAACTTATGTACAGAAAATATGTAAGCAGATAACTTGACAAGAAACGAAGAACAAGGTAGTGGTAGCTGATAGCGGCTGGCAAAATGCTTTCGACCTTTTTAGCTATATTCTATATTGTCTTTGTATATATAAAAAGTAAAATCTTTTTGACATTATCACATTCGAAATAAAAAGCTTCACTTTTCGAGTTAATTAATTTTACCTAATGATGTAAAAAAATAATTCTAACTTATTATTTATTGAATTTTGCCACCTCATTTGAAATAGCCGCGTGACGGTTACGGAAACTAAAATCAAAAGGCACACACCATGTAAAAAAATATTATGCATTTTATAGTTATAAAAGTATTAATTAATATAATTTGTATTTTACGCTAAAGTTTTGTTATTTTTCTAACAATAATTAACATTTTAATAATTATAAAATGTAATACTATTTATTACAGTGACATCTACATTACCAGAAATAAATTAATTCTTTCATAAAATTAATTGTCTACTGTCAACACCTAAGCAATACGAATTTTACTACCGTTTATGTTTACGCATAATGTCAAATTCACTATTTTAATAAAATTGCAAAATTGATCGTAATAAACTGTTTAACTGTCAAAAAATACATTATTTATATATTTATGAAACAAATACGTCTTTTGGATTTGGGTTATGGCTTTAAATAATTCTATTTAATCAAAACAACATTCCTTTACACGTACCAAAGAGAACGCACGAGCCGCTGACAGCGCCAGCCGTGGAAACATTGTGGAACTAAAATAATCATATGACTCGCACTCGTCACTTTTCCTTCAGATATTGATTTGCGCCTTGTTCTCGTTTGCCGTCGCATAGTTTTTGTGTAATCATCTGGAATGGCGAGTCAAACACAAGGGATCCAGCAATTGCTGGCAGCTGAAAAACGTGCTGCAGAAAAAGTGTCAGAGGCAAGAAAGCGTAAGTATTTAAATTCTAACAATTACTTCTTGAAAAGATTTTCATGAACGTTTTTCGTTTAGGTAGGTAACTACAGTGAACCGTAAATATTAGTAGTTTTAACATCTAATTAGCGTTTAAGTGAGTTTGTAGTATTAACAATATATAAAATATGAGTTTGGGTATCGTAATCACATGATTGGGCGTAACTGGGTTAGATGGCTACCTTTATCGTTGCTTTGGTATTCAACCTTTCATGGCAGTCTGTACCCATCATACCCATACCTTTCTATATATAGCTTCATTATTTGTTTTCTATGTTAAACCTACATCTTTAATCTTTGGTTTAATTAAGTAGAGGGACTTGTAAAAAAGAGATCTTATCAACTTTTGATCAATTAGTATGTCATCTCATAACATGGATATGTCATGTAACTAATATTACAGGAAAAGCGAAACGCCTAAAGCAAGCCAAAGAAGAGGCCCAGGATGAAGTTGAAAAGTACAGACAGGAGCGTGAAAGGCAGTTCAAGGAATTTGAAGCTAAGGTTTAGTTTTAGCTTTTTATTTAATTTATGTCTAGTTTTCAATTATTTTGATGATCTGTCTTACTTTAAATGTACTTCTGATAACAAAAGTCATATTAATTCTATTCTAAGGGATGGTATTGGTTCTGACTAAATATAAATTTAGTTTAAAAAGAAGCTTCTAAGATTATATATAAGTATATAGTTAATGTAGTAAAGCATAATAACCGAGACAGAAAAGTGCTCCATGGGCAGTGCTACACTTTTTACCATGTTTCAATGTTTTGATCAATTGACATAGTTAACTTTTGTTAGTTAAATATAAATTTCATATAAGTTCAACTTGCTGAGTGTAAATCACACTAAAACAATCTTGTTTGAGATTTATGGAGATTTAAATTGGTATTAGCTAATAAATACTTATATTATGTAGAAGTCTCCATTTCTACAATAGAATCTCTCTTTATTGTAGTTTCTATCTTTAACATTATTTATTTATAGTTAAACTAATGAAGCAAAATATTGGATGGGGCGAATTTTCTCAATTTCCCATATTGTTACTTTAAGTTTTTAACACTAAACTTCACTACAGTTAGAAATTTACAGGAAATCAATATCAGGTAAGTAGGGGTCTACCCAACACGGAATAACATGGCAAGGGGTCTACGACACAAATACGTTTGGGGATCTCTGCTTTAGACCATTGATATATCTAATATATATAATTCTCATGTCACAATGTTCGTTCCTATACTCTTCCGAAACGGCTCGACCAATTCTTATGAATTTATTTATGCATATTCAGTAAATCTGAGAATCAGCTACTATCTATCTTTCAAACCTCCAAGTGATTAGAGGTGTCCATTCCAAAATTTTGTTTTTATTTTTTAGACTTTTTTTTTGTTTTTATATTTTTATGATACAGCATACAAAAATACATACAACCCCTAATTTTCACTCCTCTAGGATCAACGCCTATTTTTTATTATAGTACCTAACTAAAAAAATGATTCCTAGAAATTAATATACATGGCAAAACAATGTTTGCCGGGTCAGCTAGTATAACATAAAATGATAATTATTATATTTCACATATAAAACGGCACAAACCCATTCAAACATTGACACTCCATAGTTAGCCTATGCAAGAAACTTGTTTTCAACAAGAATTCTTATTCAAATACAGGATCTCTGTATAGGACTAATTAATAAAATTTATTAGTTTTGTATAATGTTGCAATAATATGTAAAGCAGTATTAAATGTATGACATTAATTTCCAGCATATGGGCTCAAGGGAAGGTGTTGCAGCTAAGATCGAAGTAGAAACCAAGGTGAAGATTGAAGAGATGGTCAAAATGGTCCAGACCCAACAGGAAGCTGTAAGTATTTGATATTTTTTCCTACTTCATGTTGAGTTACTTATTATTTTTAGCATTTTCTTAGGGTACTAATCAACATAACTTAATTTCTTTTTTCTGCTGAATAACTCGCTGTCTTAATAAAATAAAATTCGAAACTTTCAGGTCATTCAAGACATTCTTCAGCTGGTGTATGACATCAAACCCGAGTTACACGTCAACTACCGCATAGTCTAAGCCCTAATGTTTTGCCTCAAATAATCGCTTATAACAAGCACATATAGTCTTTATTGTTGTTTATATTCCGTAGCTATTCGGCGTCATTAATACCGCGTCAATGTCAAATCTGACAACTTGACCGTCGACGCCTATCGCTGTACATACCTAGCTTGGTGTTGCCAGTTAATGTTAATCACTGGATAAAGTTATTTATAAATCAGCTCGATATCATTCCATAATACAATATTGGAAGACCGATGAGAAACAAAAAAAATTGTATGTTATTCAATGTTGTATGTTGAATAGAAATATATATTTAAAATAATAATTTGGAATGTTTTTATTTGTCTTGTTACAATGTAGTCCTAATGATTACAAGTGTACAGTATTAGAGAAAATATATTGCATGTTAATGTAACAATTCATTGTTTTATTTAATCTTGTTTGTTGATCCAGTCTGGATATTTCAACTCTGAATTCCTGTAAATAAAGGACTATTTTAATTATCATTTTCCTACACTATAAACTGTTATGTTCAAAACACATGTTATCTCTATATATCTATCTAGTCTATTGGCAATGCAACAAAGTTTTATGGTAAATGTATATAGATAAATTATTGTGTTAGGAAAAAATGCATGACCAGCTCAGGGTGAGCTAAGATTCAATCTAAATACTGGATTCTGTATGTGAAGGTATATGTGATAGCAAAACTTACGTAAGTTTAAATGAGGTTTCACCGATTGTGTCTATCCATGTTGTGACGGCTCCTACTGCAGAGAAAACTGCTGGCTGGTCCAAGAGGTCGCAGCGTTTGGAGGAAAAAGAGAGAATTCCTACCAGTACCCCATTTAGTACAGCTGGTCCACCTGCATCATGCTATAATGGGAATAGAAAAATCTTTTGGCTGTAATTTCTAAAGGCAGGCATGTTAGAAGGGCCTACATTCGTTATACTATATTATCTGGTCCAAAAATGGCACATTGTTGAAAAAAAATTTGGTTTCACTGAATTATTTTAAAATTGTGTTGAAGCCAGAATAATATCTGCAAAACCTTATACAAAATACCTTATCTTAATTTAATAGAACTTACATTGCAAACATTTTTAGCTTTTGTAATATATCCAGCACAGAAGTTTGTACGAGTCACCAATTCCCTGTAAAAGTGGGTATAACATCAACATATATTTGCCGTTAATTGGTAGAAAGAGACGACTACAAGATAGTATACTTCTAAGATATTACCGCCCATATATTTCTTGACAATCGGCTAAGTCGTATATAGGTAACTCCAACTTTTGCAGTAACACTTGTCCACCGAGGCCACCGATTCCCTTAAAACATTATATAAACAACATATTGAAATACAAAACGTGAGTCTGGATTAAAAAATAGTGTTAGAGATATGGTCGAAAGAGAGATAGCTAATTTTTAATTTTAAAACAATCTATTTAAGTAACTAACCAAAACCGAACCCCATCCCAGAAAAGTAATCACACTGTCCGTGGGTACAATCCTTTCTGTGGCGTAGTCGATTTTCGCAACTTTACTTTTCATTCTATCATTGGATATATTTCTATGTAATCGGACCACTGCGAAATTGAACTCAAGTGTATCTGGCTTGTAATTGGGGTGAAAGAATATCTCCGACACCCGGTATATCTCACCACCGGATGTGGCATTTGAGGATCCCAACCGGATTGTTAGCATCTTTACGTATTCACGGAAAAAACGATTGTTATATTGCCTGAAATTATACAACACATACAATGTGAGCTTCCGTAAACATAAAAATATACGTAGTAGATATCGTAGACCGTCTACCCGCTGAAAATCTAATGATTTATAAGAAATATTTATAAATATACTAGCTGACCGGGCAAACGTCGTTTTGCCATATATAATAAAAAATCTCAAATCATTTATAATAAAAAAATAGGGGTTGATCGTAGAGGGGTGAAAGTTAGGGGTTTGTATGTATTTTTTAATGCTGTATCATAAAAAAATAAAAACGGAAAAAATATCTAAAAAAAAAAAAAAATAGGGGGGGGGACTACCCTTAACATTTAAGGGGATGAAAAATAGATGTTGTCCGGTTGTCCGATTCTCAGACAAAAACAATAAGCACACAAAATTTCATGAGAATCGGTCAAGCCGTTTCGGAGGAGTATGGCAACGAAAACTGTGACACGAGAATTTTATATATTAGATTATTTTGTAGTTTACAGCAATAGTGTTTATCAGATCAAAAAAAAAAAAAAACATTTATACATATAGGTAACACAATGTACACTTATGAACGTCAAAAAAGAAATATATATTAGATAAAAAAAATAAGTGGCGCTACAACCTCTTTAGGTCTTGGCCTCAGATTTCTGAATCTGTTTCATGATCATTTTTTTATCTAACAGGCAAGTAGGTGAGCCTCCAGTGCCTGAGACACGCCGTCGACTTTTTGGGTCTAAGACATGTCGGTTTCCTCACGATGTTTTCCTTCACTGTTGAGCAAATGTTAAATGCGCACATAGAAAGAAAGTCCATTGGTGCACAGCCGGGGATCGAACCTACGACCTCCGGTATGAGAGTCGCACGCTGAAGCCACTAGGCCAACACTGCTATGCTGCACTATATATTAGATATATGCTTCTAATTTTACATTTACTGCCAGTTCTCAAATCACGGGCGTAGAACGGAAGAGAAGCACTGGCAATAAATAAACTCTCCACTACTCTTTTTAATCGCCAAGTTTTTTGTTTTACACAATGTTTGTAAGGAGCTGCAACCATTACACCATGTTCCACATGACATCACAGCAATTAATAGTTAATTAATAATAATAAAATAAATTAAAAACAAAGATTTGTCCTCTATCAGCAGGAGGCATGGTGAAATAGGAGCACGCATTTAGATTCTCGTGGGAACAACACCCAAATACATAGTTAAAATAACTAACATCACCGCATATATACCTACACGAATTCAAGTTCGACCAGTCACCACAAGTTGCACCCGTTCACGCCTATGACGCATGGCCAGCCATCAGAGTCATGGAATGCGCATAAGTCGTTACAATGTGTGCAGTGTGAAAACTTACAACTGAAGACAATGTGCAGCAGTTAGGACTCTGTCACTAGCGATGACGGCAGCGCCGCACCAAAGTTGCTTGTTAACAAGTAAAGCGGCCAAAAAGGGATACTCCTCAATGGATGCTACTTCATCTGCGTTATAAATACGTCTAAAGCGCTTATCTGGAGTTTCTGAAACTTTATTGAACATGTATAATGTTCATTAGTATAAATTATTTCACTCGTGTAAATTCTTAAAATACACTATGCGTAAATAGTAAATTCATACAAATGTCAAATGGGAAATTTGGGAGCTAGATTTGGTCGGTCGGAAGATTATTCCTTCTACTAAGTTACCTTGATCTAATGTCGTAGTGAGTTTATCTGTCCGTGACGACTTCACTGGGTACTCTATAGGAAGACCATCATACTCCTGCTGCGTTATGCTCTTCCGAAATATATTCTCTGATTCCACTAAAACATACTATATTTTACATTTGAATAACTGTGCTAACAATTTAATTGCGGAAGGCACAAATCACGCTTGTATTTGTAAAAAAGTGAATCCCAAATTGCTTAGTTTTTTAACATTTGTAATGTTAAGATTTTTTGCTAATCTTTCTCTTTTTAAGAATAGTTTTCATATTTTTAGACTCGCGTAACTTCGTAGCTCCATAATGTCGCTACGAACTGCTACGCCGCTTTGCTACATTTTCATGTTTAGGTATGTCTCCTTTTTGCTAATTTTCCTGAGGTAATATAGGTATTTTTAAATAATAGCTACTTACTTTCGTCTGAATCTGTTTCGCAAATACTTTCGCGACATAAAATTGATACGAAAAGAATCGCCCACAGAGACATTTTAAGCGTAACTATTTTATTGAACCTTTCTATGTTTATCGATTCAATATCGATAAAACGCGTAGTAGTCCATGAGCTACTTTAATTTATATTGTACCTCTCGATTCGATATGTTTTTTATAAATCAAACAACTCAACAACACACAAGTGATTTATTAAAGTCAATGCCAGCCGTGCCCATGAGCGTATACAGTGGAGACAATCGGTGCTGTGTAAACGGTTCGGATAATTGGTGCGACTGGGGCTACGACCAGGCGAGGGACCGAGTAGCCGTGGTTGATGACGCTAGACGTGTAGACGCCCGGCGCGTGCGCTGTGGAAGAAACAAACTTGTACAACCGTTAAGTGGAGCGGTTACGCGCGATGGCGCAACCTCCCATAACGCGTTGCTCTCTTCATGTTTCCCTTCACTGTAAAGGGAAGCTACAGTCAGTTTTTAGACCGCTTTAGCTAATTAGTCTTTCGAGAAAGCTAAATGTATTACTCGTATAACTAAATAACAGATTACATTTATTTATTCTTGCTTTTCAAGCTCATCGGGCCTGCGCTTACAATAAGCATCCTAACTCCCTAACAAATTATATATCAATTGTTTTCGATTCCAAATAACTTTGCCTAGCTCTTAAACTATTAAAACAAAACATGTAGCTATGATAAATATTATATTTAATATTAACACTCACCTAAGGTTGTCAATCCCAGCCCAAGGGGAGTTGGGTTAGCTACGGATAAGCCTACGAGGGCCAAAACTATTGCCACCTGAAAAACGTAGTTTTTATGAAAACTAATAATAATTGACGCCAATAAACTCTAATAAGTTCTTACATCAGTATTTACATCATTTGTACTCGTGTAAACGAATGACAATATTATGGCATTCTTCTCTTTATATTGATAAATATATGTGTAGGTGCATTGTAAAATAATATAAACGAAAAATGTTTCTTTTGAATAAAAATGTTGCACCAAATTAATATAAATATTTATTTATTAAAAAAATGAACTTACCGCGCACTTCATTTTTATGTATTACGCCACTGAAACCGTTAAACACTGATTTTCAGGAAAATGCTTCGTCCTTTATAGACGAGAGTCACGGTTCGGCGCGCGCGCATCCTTTGTTGGTTATAAGGTATCAGTTATAATTTACTAATTAATATATTAATTATTAGAAATCTCCCGTATAGGTAAGGGTGAATGATCGATGTTAGTAATTGAAATAGTTTCAAAGTAATTACAACACAATATTTTTAATGTGAACAACACGAATCAACAATCAATTAATGTCATGTAAAATTGTTTGCGATTAACCTTGAGACACCTAAAAGGTCAACCTATTTTTTTACACCTTAGAATATATATTTAAATGTTATTAAATAACTTGACTAAGTACCTTACCTACTCACTTCTCTTTGATTTGATTCTCAGTGAAACAACGTATTTATATGTGACTCCATATATATATATATATGTCTTATATCTCTCCGTGTTTCATTAACGGCCTGAATTATAATCAGCCATAGAATTTGTTACAACATTTAATAAGCTGGCTGGCTAATGCTAAGGCCATTCGTACATCATGTGACAGAAATAAAAGTGGGAATATATTGACATAACAGATTCTTTACTTAAAATTTAACTTATTAGTGTTCTTACGTCAGCTCTTAATGTCACTACCACACTCTTCCTCACTATGTTTCATTAAACTTTGGAAGAAATCATCAAATTTGTTGTTTGCAAGTTATGTAAGGTCATCGATTCAAGTCATTTACCTGTTGCTTGTTTAAATGGCTGAATATTATTCAGTCCTCTATTTGAACTACGCTGTTTAGGAAAGGGACAAGGCTTTTAATTGAACGGCTAACTAAGCTATTGGCTGCGACTTAATTGATCCATTATGTTTGAAAAATAAAACACTGTAGGTAAAAATAATAGCATTTATTTTAATATAACCAATAAACTGAACAAGCTTTTTTAAACAAGTTAAAATTAAATGTAAATTAAAATAATAATTAAATAACGTCACTTCTGGCTTATTCACTGCAACAATTATTTCTGAAAAGATAGGTCTTATTAACACTTGAGTACTATACTATAAATAATTTATTCGTTGAGAAATTGCGAGCTGGAAATAGATATTTTTTGGATGACTTACCTTCCATCGATCGTTGTCGTAGTCCCAACGCGAGGAAAGCCCATCAATCGGTGCCACGCGTAGCTCGAGCATTCTTCGAAGTTGAGCCTTCTGCGATTCCTTTGAGAACGAGCTCGGTAGAGGTTCCCATACTGTAAGATGTTAAACGACAACTTATATATCATATAATAGCATATTGAAATAAATGAAGATAGATTGGAACGTAAGACTCAAGGGAAAACTGTATGGCGTTAGCTTGACAATCGTTTCGCCAGTTTGGACTCACCATAATGGCGGGAGAACATGATCATCCAAAAGCAAAAAGACGTAGCAAAGAGCGCCCATCCCAGACAGAACTTCCACTGACCGGTGGGCGCTTGAAACTCTGCAAACGTCTGGCAGAAGGAGGCACGATACAGCGCCTTCTTCTCCTCGATGCACAGAGTGCGCCAGTCACACCTCTCTCTGTCGCGAAGGGCCTAGAGGACAAGGGTGGTATGAAAAGGGAGCAATTAGTACCATAGTAGTGGCTGAACATGACCATCCAGAAGGTGAAGGAAGTGAGGAACAGCGCCCAGCCCACACACAACTTCCACTGGCCCGTCGGATGCTGGAACTCCGAGAATGTTTGGCAGAACGACGCCCGGTATAAAGCCTTCTTTTCTTCGCAGCAAAGTAGCCGCCAGTCCCCCTTCTCCTTCTCACGAAGAGCCTAGATAGGATAAGTGCTTAGTGGAAGCGGAATCTGTTAGCTGTTGTTTGTTTGTAAAAACTATAGACATATTATATATTTATTAGCTATGATAGTTTAAAAAAATGTAATTACATGATTACTTCAATAATATTACTAAATTTTTTAGCAAAACTTCAATCTATCCACTCTGTTAAGCCGGCAGGTAGAAGCGATATCTGTTACACTCACACAGATATCTCTGGTGTTCTCCTTGAAACGCACAGCAGGGAACGGGAAATGGGCATCATCCTTGTAGTTAGCCATACCATTGACCCCGTGACCCACCCAGTCGCGGTTACCTATACGAGAACAATTGTACGTCGTTCTCACAGTGAGGCCGAAAGCTCCACATTTTATTGGCAAGGAGGAGAAATTCGACAACATTCCGTGGGTTTCGAAGTCACAACCAGTGACGTTGCGTCACTGATATCGACATTGTCTTTTAATTTTTTATTCAATTTTGTGTAAATGTTAAAGAGTTCCTATGTATTTGTCAAATTAATAAGCGGTTTTTGCTATAGTATGAGAAACTGCTGACTATATAATGTTCAAATATATTCTCCTTGAAGATGTTCATTTTCTAATGAAACGCACAGTTTCATTAGAAAATAACTACTGCATATCTTTTAGAAGTTTCACTCTTTTATTTTAACACATTTTACCACATCGGAAGCATATAAATATTTTAAAGAATTACTTGTGAAGAAAGATAGTTTCGGAAACTAAAAGACCGAAACGTATATAATGCAATAAAGAATTGTTTTGGAACGTGTTTGGATAGTTTGATAGATAGATTGATAGACGGACAGACGGACATCGATAATCGCGTTTTGTTTATTTCCATTCGACTGCAGAACTATAATGTACTACGGTGTTACATACTCAATACTAAAGTTAAATAAAACAATTGCGAAACACAGTTACAGATAGAATCCGTTATGTCGATTAGATCTAACATCTTGTTTTACATGAAGAACAGACTTGAGACAAAATCATTTTTCAACAGGCGTGATACACTGACGCCAAATTTATATGGGAATGTCACGTGACGATTTTCTCAAGCCCCTGAGTTTCAATTCCTATTAAAAGACGAAAGCCTCTACATTAATAAATAAACAATTTCCTAATGTGGTTTTCGACATACATTTTAATTGTGCAACACAAATTTACTACTTACAAATATTTCGAAACAATTGTTATGGAAATAAAAATCATAAACTTTTAGATTATTTTATGCCATTTACATTTCACAATATTTTAAGTGTTGAATACAGATAAAATAAATATATCAATAAATATTTTTAACATATTCCAAAATGTACCAGAACAAAATGATAATTATTGTAGCGATTTTGTTAACGGGAGATTGCTTAGAAGAAATCCCAAGGAGGGACGATATACATAAAACGGAAGCCATCGTTGAACATACGATTAACAGTCTTTTCTCGACATTGAAATTGAGAAGAATTCAGCAAAGACCAAAGATACTGGAATACACAACTTTGCATAAATATTTCGCGTCACTATCATTGCAAGATGATTACAACTTGAAGAAAATTCTACAACTAACAAAAGTCAATGAGGAACATAAATTTTATAATGGAACTGACTTTATAGCCGTTATAAATGAAATAATAAATGAAGATATAGTTAACAGATTAAACGTGGATGACATTAGTGTGATATCGTATATTGAGAGATTTATTTCCAGATTAAAGATATGGAGAGAAATTTACGCGCCAAAAACCATTTACGTCAATATCAATTTTAAAGTACTGGAACATTTGCAGAATACAGTTAATAAAAGTTTTGATTCTAAAAGTAAAGACAATCTCATTACGAGCGATAATGAATTTTGGGGTTTGTAACACTTTTAATTTTTATAGTTAATCCTGGACGCAGTATACATGCTTTAAATCTACCTTAGACTCGTCTGCACCAATATTTTTCGGAATCTGTTGGAAGAATTCAACTGACTTGCACTTTCGATATTATTTATCGGTTTTCTAACAACGGAATTGCTAATTTTCAGAGCCAAGTGGTCGACGTATTTACAGAGGTCAAAGAACCAAGATCAAATATTTCCCATTCATGGCTAGTGTGCACATCTTCAACAACTTCCATTGCGCTGGATCTATTATAAAATCAGACCTGATCATCACAGCATCGTCGTGTTTACAACTGTAAGGCACCTATATGAAATATAAAAGAGGTCTATTCGATCGATTCGATTTATACATTTTAAAGGATTTTAACTACTCAAATCTTTTTTATACAGAGCCTGGAATAATCGTCTATTCCGAGAAAATCCAGCATTCCTTTCTGTTCGAGTCGGTAGTTCCTTCTATAGTGGCGGTGGTGAGGTCATACCGGTATTAGAAATTTACTTCCACCCTGGATACGACCCTAAAAGTCTTAGAAACAACATCTGTATCCTGCGGCTCGTTCGCCGTTTGAATTTCAGAAAACGAAGTAAGAGAGTGAAAAGGATAAACATTGATAGAAACCCATGGAACCTACCAATGAATACTCCTGGTGTCACGATTCTTGGTTGGGGTGCGAAGGGTGTAAGTTCAGTTTTTTTTATGATCAAGCAATACTAATGGATAAAAATGTGTAATGCAATTATTACTTTTAACACATAAATAAAGGCCTAAAATTTCAGAGTAGCGGCATAGTTTACGATCCATGGAAAAATATATTATCATATTCGATTTTGGATATTTATCCGTTGCCAGACTGTCGCGACGTGTATACTAGGTTTGTATAATGTTCAATACTTCAACATTAAACAGTTCAATACTTCCACGTACACATTATTTTTTAATTTAATATTATTTTTTTATCAGACAGTATGTGACACGCAAGCATTTTTGTGCTGGTTTCTTGTCCAAAGGCGGCGGTGCATGTAATGTACGTATTGTTTATATTATTCCACGTAACAGCTGTAGCTGCTATTTTAGTAGCGACCTTTTCTATAAGGCAAGTGGAAATAATCCATGAATGGAACTCTCGTATACTTATTGAGCTTGTGTCACTGTATTGCAAAATAACCGTACATTTTACGTTATGTCATGTATAGCGTGACGTAGGAGCCCCGGGCGTGGTGGATGGTAAGCTGATGGGAGTGGTAAGCTTCGGCTCCCCCACTTGTGGGACTCCTGACGCCCCCACTGTCTTTACCAAATTAGGATACTACACTGACTGGATAGAAGACGTTATGGAAAAGGTACTTTATTAAATTCTTACATAGCAAACTTGATTAAGGTGTAAGCGTGTTTAATTAATACTAATTTTAATCAATCAAACATCATGTTTTAGCCCGTACCTGTTTCCTTGAAGCGTACAACAAAGAAACCATTGTTCGATGTTTTTAATGTTATACCTATGGAAGGGCCTACGACGACCACATTCAAAATACCACCTATCACAGGAAACAAGTTAGACCCTATATCAATTCACGACATCGACAACACATTAAGACATATAGACGAAAATCTTTTTAAAGAATTTGTGTCTACAATGTTCACCAGTAGTGAAATCGATAAGTATCTACAAATTATTAGACAACAACAGAAAACAAAAGGAAATGTTGAAAACAAAACAGCGATAGTTAACGTCAATAGTGAGAGTGATTCTTCTATTGATAAAAGTGATGTAGTATTTGTAACCAAATCTCCCGATTTTGACGAAGCTGTAGTTAAAGCAGAAGATATTGAGATACGGGGCTCAGAATCTGACAATGACGACGAACGAAATTCTCAAGTACAATCACAAGAATCTTACAGGGGCGAAGAAAATCAAGCAATAGTAGACGAATCCAAAGTAGAAAGTGATATCATTCAATTCATGAAAAACATAGATTTGAAAAAAATTATTCAAGAAGAAGTAATGGATACGCCAAAAGCGGGAGAAAAGGGAAAAAATGAATCCTTTTTAAAATTCGCATACCTTAATGATACTGATAAAACAGGACATGGTGATAACCTGGACGATAATGATGGATTAAGCTTAGTAGGCGATAATAGTTTCGAAGATATGACGAGGTCAAAACTCAAGAGCACCAACAGGATTTTGCCCGAAAAGGAGGTTTATGGTTTACTGTCCGATGTAATCGAAGAGGAAGTACAAAATAAATTAGTAAAGGGTTTTAAATACTTGGGTTTTTTATTTAGAATACTACTAAATAGTTATATTAGAATAAAATTAAAAATATACACCCATTTTCATGTAATAAAGTAGCATAATTTAGAAATTGTAATTTTAAATATAATAGTATCTGTCTACAAAGTATTGATTTATATGTCAACTTGAAAATTCGAAATTGAGTTTGACGTTTAAGTTTTCACTGTGAAGTGTGAACGATCGAATGCCCATTTGGATTCTCGGAATACAGTAGCTAAAAATTTTCTAAAGGAAATAAGCAAAAAGGTAATAATACTTTAAACATTAGTCTTTTTGAAAAGCGCTTGTAGTGTGCTGTGCTTATCTATTTATGATTATTTTAAATTTAAGTCTACAAGGCACCGCAGGTAAGTGTCAAAGTTTTTATTTTTATAAGTGATTTTGAAATTGGAATAAATGCATTGAAGCAATCTTTTCTGTTATATTTTTCGAATTTTTCGTAATATTTTGCAGTTGATTATTAAAATCAATTTCTATTAATGTCAAATCCAAAAAATTTTTTTTCACTGTTATGTAACTGACGATCGATTGCCATAACCTATCAATTCTTATCAACAACACCTTTGAATTTAGAACACCTCACTCTGTGTCGTTATTACTTGCGTCTTGGTTGAAATGTTTAGAACTGTTCTGGTATTTATATTATATAATGAAAATTTATTTCCAGAGTTACTGTATATCTAAGTGGTACGAATATTTTTTATACCATTTCCACAGTAAAAGCTTTTCTAATCCTTTCAAACTGTGAGTTTTTTATATGGGGGTATATACAACATCACTAGTTTTATACACCATTGACCATTATACGACAAATATTTTCTGATGACTTGTACATATTATAAATATTTTTATACCAGTGAAAAGGATTCGAAAGTATTTAAAAATAAATTTTCAATAAATATTTATGAATCAAAATAGAAAAACTATAATTATTTTCTTACTCATTATTTAGTAAATGCTAAATAATGAGTCAAGTGTAAGAGGCATATAATAAAACCATCACAACATAACATTTGGGCTACCACTAGACAGACAATAGGGAGGCATGAAAATATTGACATATCCTCCAAAAGTCCAAACTATACATAATGTTTGAGTTTGGTACCTAGGATGTGTTAACTATTTAATCTTGTACAGACAAGTTGATTTTCCTCATACCCTATTACAAATTTGTGCCATTCAAACATATTTGCACCATATTACTATACTTTACACTGCTAGTTTGTTAAGTTCTTGTTACCTATTTGAAATTTGTATTGTTTTTATAGCAAAATGGCCAACCTCCTTATGCGCCAGGCACTTATAAATGCAATCCGTGTTCCAGTTGGTACCCGATCTGTTAGTGAATTAGCTAAGGTAAGTCTGTTTTATAGTTATTAGTTTGAATTTTCAATAATACATTATACATATTAATTTAACGTAAAGTATGAAGTAAACTATTTAATTTATGTAAATGTTTAATATTTTTCCAGATTGGAAACCGTGAGTGGGTGGGATATGGTTTCAATGGACAGCCCAACTATGTCGACAGGCCTGACTACCCTTTGCCTGCTGTCCGATTCGGTGTAGAGACACCCGATGTCAAAGTGCGTATTGTAGTTTATTTTAGAAAAGCCATAAGTTAAGTTTATGTTGTCTGTTTAAATGATCTCTCCTTTTCCAATACCTATATGTACTTCCTCTAAATTATATAAAATAAGAAATATATAGATATAATGTAATGTATTAAATTGATTTCTTAAAACAGGCCCTCCGTGAAAAGGAAAAGGGTGACTGGCGTAAGCTGACCGTTGAAGAAAAGAAAGCACTTTACAGAGCATCCTTCTGCCAGACCTTTGCAGAATTCCAGGCTCCAACTGGGCAATGGAAGGGAGCCGTGGGATGGGCACTCTGTTTGGCCTCATTGTCCCTTTGGGTGTACATGGGAGTTAAAATGTTTGGTAAGATTGATTCGATCATATGGTGAAGTTATCTCTTAAATCGAAAATGAGAATTACTCGAATTTACGTATTTACGTAGAATGGGTATTAAAACTCAGTGGCCTTTAGATTTATTACTGTGTTTTGTGTTTACTGTTTTCTTTTGTGCAAGGAAGTGTAGATAGAAACCATTTATGTTTAAAACTTGTTAGATTTCTTTGATATGAATTTAAATTCTTATTAAGTTTAGTAATTCTTAGTAATTTTATAATATATAAAGCACTAAGCACTCCAAAACATCTGTTTTAAAAAATCATACAAAATTAACTAATTACTTCTGATTAAAATGGCTTGCTTTAACTTGAAATTTTCTTGTCTGCATTCTTTTTTTTTTTGAACATGCAGAAGTATGTCTACCAAATGTTAAAGTTGCAATGAAACTTCATATTATTTTATACTTTTAGTTGGTTGAAAAATTTTAGGAGATTGAAAACAATCAGAGATGAGACCATGACAGTTGATCAATCTCCTATCTGCATCCTCATAACAAAACCTTACGAAAACATGGCTATTACAATCCGTCGATTGGTTATTGGCACAATTGTTACAACATTCGGATTAAGACGATCTCAGATCTTAAAAAATGGATTGAGATAGATTATTGGGTTTGGGCTTAAGACTCCTCTAAGCTCTCATTGCTATCTATGCATCAAATTATATTTAAATTTAATGTAAAAACTACTTAATATACACTATTTACATACATACACTTAATAAATTACTGATTTCAAATGTTCGAAATTTGATTTCCAGTATACAGTCCTCTTCCGGAGTCCTTTAGCGAGGAGGCTCAGAAGGCTCAACTCCGCCGTATGCTGGATCTCAAGGTCAACCCTATCGATGGAATGTCCTCCAAGTGGGACTACGAGAACAACCGCTGGAAGTAAATGGTATGCTCAATGCTTTTTGTTTTTCCGTTCACTCAGTGCCCCTATACAAACGTCACTGACATGTCACTTAAAAATTATTAAAAATATTAAACCAGATATCTCATGAACAATGAGAAGTTATTAATATATTTGAAGACGTTCCTCAATATTATATTTTAGAATTGTTTGAAGTAACTAAGTCTGATTTATTTACATTTGTCTGGTTGTATCACATCACATGAAAACTACGTGATTTTTATTTATATAAACAAAATGTATTTTGTTAATTAAAACATCTCATAAAGGTCCTTAATGTAATAATATTATTTAATGTTTCTTATTAAATGTCGCTTTATATGGAAGATTTTAATCGACTTCAGAAATCCGGAAAGAAGATGTTTACGATTCCGAGCAGTTGTTATTACCATGAATATACAAAGAAAACGAAGGAATATAATAATAATATTATTTTATGCAGCAATAAATAGTTAATTTCTTGTTTCAGGTCGTCTGAAAGCGTTTTGTGGAGGCTGGTGTAGTGTAGACAACGTTATCGTAAATAATTATATTGTTCTGTAAGATATGCAAATAAAATTGTGATTCCATCAAGGTTTTTTTCTTTAAGTTCTATTAAATAACATAAGAAATCAGCGCATTCTAGAGTTGAATAAAATTTAGTCTGACTGTATTTACGTGTATGTTTAAACTTATTTCGGCAAATCTTTTTTTATTTTTTATTAATTTGTTATGGCTTATTGAAACCTGATATCATGAAAAAAGTTATCGATATGTCAGGTGTATTAAAACAATTCCTAAATATCGAAACTATAAAACGTTTAAACTTTTACTGTGATAAACATGTTTTATTGATTTCAGAAATAAAAGTTATCAGCAATTCAATAAATATACGACTTATAATCCAGTGACGTAATCTTATAACAGCGCACATAATATTTTCTTGATTTTGTCGAAAAAATTCGACAGATGTCGAATGTCATCTATTAAATTGGTCTTACTTTAGTTAGTTTCCAAAAATATCTCGCCTTTCCGTGGTAGGGGTAATAGTATTTTTGCGACAAAGAACATTGTATCGTGTTTGTTTATGGTTCATGATTTAATTATATATATATAATAAATTCGTGTCACCACTGATCATAGTTAATTATAGAACCGAGTGTAGTGTTGGCCTAGTGGTTTAGGCGACTCCCAAAAGTAAAGGTTGAATCTAGGATATACAAAAATAGATTTTGCCACTTGCTCGTAAGATGAAGGTAAACTTTGTGAGGAAACCGGTGTATGTAAAGACCCTCAAACCGACGTCACAATCTCAGGCACATGGCCTACTTGACTAAAAGTAATATAAACGACCAAAGCTACAAACGTCATCTGATCAATTGTCATAATTATGAAATTTACGTTTATATTATAATAGAGAGATATATATAAGAGCTGCCCGACACTATGTAAAGTTGTTTTTTATACAACAACTTTACATAGTGTTAACGCTACAAGTGTAGCTTTGTCGCGTATGAGTTTACTTGGTGCCGCAAGACCTTTAAAATATGTTGTTTTATTAATATATAACCCAGGTCCCAGTGTCTTTGAATCTTTCTGTCACTGTATTTCTCTACAGTACGAGAACTATTGGTGCAGTCAGGGTACAAATGCTCAGCCCAAGGTTGAGAGTCCACTTAACAATAGTCAATAAGGCAACTGCAAGGCGCTGCTGGATTGAGGGTGCCTCATGAATCTGTATAATTAATTTTTATTTTTATAATAAATATTTTTAAATTTTTTATTGTATATAAATTTTTTTTTATTAGACGTTATCACTATTTCTTAAACTTACTTTTATAAATTTTATTGCAAACATTCCATAACATATTTTAAATACTTAATAAATAAATTTTTAAAATATCTTTATAAAATACATAAAATTTTATTAAAAAATAAATCTAAATATTATAATTTTTTAATAAATCAAAAATTTACATTATCTATAATAAAACTTATTATATATTATTAAAAATTATATATACTATTATTTATAACAAATGAGTTACAATTGTTTTCAATGAAATTATATAATTTTTTTTTACTATAATGCTTCTAATGGTCCGTTCTTTGTAACCAAAATGTTCCTAAGAAGCCAAACTAATAATTATATTTATGAACCTTTTTTACAGACTAAGTACTCTAATTTTAAACTTAAAATGGTACATAGTCAGTCTTAAGTAGAATATTTAAAATAACCATTCCTAAGATTAAAAAATGAAATTATATAAAATATTTTTAACCATCCTTATTCATATCCCTAATAAATTATAAATAAAAAGATAATAATTTATTTTATAAATCTGAACATAAAAATGAGAGATCCTTTTAGTAACCAATAATTTATACCATTTTAATTCCTACATTCCTTTTTATTTTAATCGCCAATCTAATACCATTTTCTTTTTACCTTCTTTTTTTTTAAGTTTTTGAATCATTTTTATTGATGTTTATTTTTTTCGTGCTTACTTGTACATTTCATTTTTTTCTTATGTACGTATTTCTAACTAAAAACGAAGTTTCTAGTTCGTAAATGTTCCTAGTGAGACCATTACCCTAGCAAGGCCAACGTAAATTTTTGATTGGCTTTATAGGAAACCTTTTAGGAACTATGATATTTTAATGAAACAAAGTAAAATTAATATTTTTTTCTTTAGTATTATAAAAAAATCCTATATACAATTTACAGTAAAAGAATGCGATAATAATGGATATTCATATAAAAACTTATTTTTGCTAAAATTACAATTTTAAATATGACGAAGTCTACGTAGTAGGGACCGATCAAATAGCAACGCACATCGTACCGTTTTTGGTGATGGAGTTTGTTAAATGGAAGGAATTTATCACATGACTATAACTATGATTTTTTAGTACTTGGCCAAGATGCCTTCTGGTTTCCCACCTTAATTGAAGTTCCGTTTTTATTGTGTTATTTAATTATTATTTCAAAAATCTATAACTATAAATAATTTTCTCTGAATGTTGCCACAAAGGCTCCAGACGTAATATCTATTTTAATTAGACTAGTCAAGCATATAATAATGAAATAGGTTCAGTTAGAAATTTTAGAAGTTTAAAGAATAAGATAAATAAATAAATTTTAGAAGTTAGGAAAGCACCCTTTTAAACAAATTTAATTATTGTTAAAAAGAGTATATTATACTAATATAAGAGGTAATATAGTGTGGAATTCGCCCTCTTTTTAAACTGTAGTTGACGAAACGGCCAAACTTAACAAATTTTTGGGGTTATAATTTTATAAAACTACAGTTAAAACAACTTTTATATTTTATTGTAACTTCTCAACATAACCACTGAGCATAAAACATAATAGTACATATACAAACCTAGATTAATTAAATCACATTCATTATACAAACTGTCTCAGTTCGTATACAAGGAAAATAGGCAAACAATGTCGCGTATATGGCTTCATACAAATGTTACCTACGTATAGAAGATAGAGGAAACACATTACTATGAAAATTTATGTGTATCAGAATTGAAATACACCTACAACAATGCCATGATGCAGCAAATATTCTAATATAAAGACAAAGACAATTGATATGGAAATTATGATCTGCTTGTTCTGATGATCAAGATACAGCAATAGAAGTTAAGTCTTACTTGACTAGTATTAGAAATTCGAAAAGCATAACCTTCCTTGTAATAAGTGTGCCATATAACGTGGTTTCATAGGAAACTAAGATGTAATGTCATCGTAAAGATGACATGTGTTTAACATTTTGTATTTCAATTAATTAATAATGTTCCAAACTTTTTTTAATTGAATTCTATTTTAAATCAACAACATGATAGAGAAATAGAGTATGCAATGGCTACAGTTTTATGAAAATTATTAAAGAGACGTTTCAAAACATATCATGAACTCTTTTACAATAAATAAATTCCTTTACCTTTATTGAACCGAATAATCAAATGAAATTAGTTATTATGCCTACGTATAATAATGATTTTCTTGATAAAACAAAGTGGCAGTGAAGAATCATTCGGATACTTTTAGGCAGCGGCACGTAAGTCTAGCGCTGGCCGATACGTGCAGGGGATTGCTGCGCATGTGTACTGTCGCGCGGGGGACGAAATGCGACTGGAGAGCCAATCGACGCTCTTCATTCCGCTAGCCCCCCTCAGGTACCTTGTTTTTTACTTCTGCGCAATAACGGTCAGCGCTAGAGTTTCGTGCCGCTACTTGTAAGGAATAAAGTGTAAAAATAAAATAGACAATGACTAGTTATCGACTAGAAAACGTTTGTTACACAAAATATACACAATATTATCTATGACAACGATATTTCTCTGTATTACATAAATACGACATCTATAACATGGATTTTTATAATATACTTTTTATTATTTTTATAAAATCTATTTGTTTGAATATTTTTATTAAAATGTTCATTATCTAGCAATCTATGTTTGGTACTTGATCACTAAACATACATTGTTGGGTAAAATTGTATCAGTCACGAAGATTATTACACATTTAAATAAACCATTTTAAAGAAATATCTTTAATCATCGCGACTGTGACGCGTAGTAGAAATAGAATTTATTTTTGAATAATCTAAAAATATTAAAGCTAAGTTACGATGACATTCAAAGCGACATTGAAGTAAGTAGGTACATAGACACGTAGGTATAGGCAGCGGCACGTAAGTCTAGCGCTGGCCGATACGTGGAGGGGATTGCTGCGCATGTGTACTGTCGCGCGGGGGACGGCATGCGACTGGAGAGCCAATCGACGCTCTTCATTCCGCTAGCCCCCCTCAGGTACCTTATTTTTTACTTCTGCGCAATAACGGTCAGCGCTAGAGTTTCGTGCCGCTACTTGTAAGTAGGTACGAAGTACACTTACGCTAAAATATACAACATTTATACCTTATTATAATCATAAGAAAATTTTCAGAGAGCGTCGAGCTCAAACATAGTTTGTGAAAAAATAATCTAATACGATATATAGTAATAACAATATTTCGTAAACTGGTAAGATGTCAGAGGAACTAATAATAAAAAATATAAGAGATATTTAAATAACAAAATATTTTAACAAATCTGGTCAATTGTTTTTTTCACAAACTATAGTTTTTACAATTCATTTATCTAACAATAATAATACATCAAGGTAAAACACTCAAATTCTCATTTATTTCAAAACTATCAATCTATTAAAATAACTATTAATATTGTAAATATGCACCATTTCAATAATCTATTCGTGTAAAATAACGGTGCAAGGGCCAAGACAATTTGTTTACTAACTAATTGGAATTATAATTTTACATATTCCATTTGACAAACGATTCCGATAAAGAGGTAATCTCCAACTTTCTTTAACCAGACGACGAAAAGAAGTTTTGACATATTAAAATTCTCTGTAAAGTTCTTATTTTTGTCCTTTTAGGGTTTAGGTTATAAGGACGGCGTTATTATTTTTATTATTTTGCCATTATATGGTATATAAACAAAAGTTTCAAAACTGATTATGGATGTAACAGGAATTAAATAATAATATTATAATATAATATGATAAGTTCATTTCTAACTAGTGTAATATACATAATATACATACATTATCTAAACGTGTAACGAAAAACCCGACTTTGACAAACCGGTGCTTCGTGAATGTTTCATTAATAATAAATCATTTATTTGCAAGTGATACATTTAGATCGATCAATTATTATAAAAATCTGCACAATCAGCCATATAAAAATAGGCATGCAGATGTCATATTCATTTTTATTTAGGTTAATTAAAAATATTGAAGACAATTCAACTCACATTTTTTTCTTGATACACGCTTTACCTTCAATGTGTGATAAGGGATCCCATATAAATTAAAATAACACTTAATAAAACTTATATTCATATAATTTTTTGTATTACCTTCGTTATTCTTTTAAATATTTAAGTAATTTCCTTTTTTGTATCTGTAAACAACACTAGTATGTTTAATGTTTATACATAATCAGAACTGTTAATTAGATGTACATATTTAAAAAAAAAATAGTCTTTAGTCCCGGAATGGGAATAGTCCCTCAACCCCTGTGTCCCAATCTGCGACTTCAACGGGACCAAAGCATTCGTCGAAGAACTGCTCCAGGGTCTTATATAGATGGATCTGGGATTTCTCGAAATTGTGACCCTCATCTGGATAAACCTGTAATTGATACATATTGTCAGACAAGTTGTTTTTCTTTTCAAACTATTGTAATTCAAAGTGTCAGTATTTTTAAGTGGATTTTAAACCGTTTGTCTGGTCACGTAATTTCTAACACGTGATTAAAATCGGCTTTTGATAAGAAGAAAACAAGAAAACATCGGGCCCTAAATTTCGTATTTTAGCAGGCTTATGAGTTTATCTAGAGAGGTATTAGGAAAGTATGAAAAGAATGTTCTGTAGACACCCACATGATGAGTGTAGAGCGCTCCTGCTCTAATTAGAGCGTGTGCCAGGGCCAACGCGTGGTGCGGCGGGGCTCGCGTGTCTGCCGTAGCGTGGGCCAGTAATACCCTTCGAGGGGGCAAGTTGCCTGCGCGACGCCAAACTGCCCCCCCACCACCACCGGCTCCTGCACCCCCATACCGCTCGGTCCAGAATGACGCTGAAAACACACGTTTGTTACAATGGAATCGATAGATATATTATACATTACAAATCAATACTAGTGTAGCTTACTGTGGTGTGTAAGGTCAGCTAGCGGTGCAATAAGAGCAAGACATCGAGTGAGGTTTCTGGCGTCTCCGGCGGCAAGAGCGTGTGCAGCGGCTGCCCCGTACCCCGCGCCCCACACCCCTACACGGCTGCCGTCCACCATCTTGAGGTTATCGCGAAGGTATCTGCGTAATCACAAATAGTGTTCGTCCTTTCTGTTCATTAATCGATTTAAATAATTCAATAAATACCTGTTTATAGCCATTAAAGGAGATTTATTTAAATATTTGACTTTATTAGAATAAGAAAGGTAAATTAAATTATTTAATACTTACGACAAAACCGCGATTTGATCTTCTACGTCGACTGAAAGTAATTTTTGATATATCTCTGTTCGTAATTCTTCACCCTGAAATCCATTAAATGAAAATCATCTTTCGTGTTATTAAACCACACGTCTTATTCAAATGCGAACATATTTTTTATTAAATAAGTAATATAGTTATTGTTATCAAACTATAGTTTAAATTTCCAATCAAATTCTCATTTTACATCTTACTTTTGCCTCTAAACAGAGGAAGGCATTTTATCCTTTTTCATTTGACTGCAGCGTTTTGATCATATTTAGAAATCTTTTCATTTCATACTATTACTAATTACAAATCCCCATTAATTAGGAACACCAAATACTAAGGCGGGTTTTAAAAGCTTGTTGACTTAGTTATTATATGACAATATTTGTTTAATCCATCGGGATTATGTAAATTATAATTTAACAAATATCTTATCAAAATCCTCACGCAGTTATTACCTGTCCAGCAGAGCCTCTTGCGTCAATTTGTGCAACTATGAAGTTCCGTGTTGCGGCGAGGTACCACGCCCATCCCATGCCCCACCGAGACGATACTAGCTGACCGCCCGGTGATGCAGACCTGATGATAAAATATTTCAATCAAGTAATTCTGGGTATGTGCCATTACGATCATAGCTCATTATTTTATGTATGCTCAACCCACAAAACGAAACGCAATTGATGCAGGCGTTGATGCATAAACCAATCACAATGAATAAAAATCAATAAGGTCATATGTAGTACATACACGTGTAAAACAAGAGGAAGAGGTAGGTCGTCGGTGTCTCTGAGTCCCGGTGGTAGGAAAAGACGCACTCGAGCCTCCCTGTGAGCTTGCACCTGAGATATTCATAAAATATAATGAAACATTTAATTTAAAATCAACGTTACCACAATATATTATCACCGGTGTATTGTCACGAAATTCGGAACGTGATATGTCGCTTGCCCCGGGGAAAAAGCCGTATTATTCCGTAGGATTTTAAGAAAACTGAGTAAATTACAAATATATACAGAATGGCCAAAAAGTCGAGGATTAAACGCAAATTGGGGATAGATGAGGTCATCAGCTGCAAAAAATTGGTCTACGGGAGGTCTCTAAACTTAACCCCTGCAGAGTTATAATTTACATTTTCACGAATGTACAGAACGTAATAATTTATTACCACTCTTTTCTCGGTATATTATGACTTTAGTGAAACAGAGATACATTATTACCATTCTTTATTCGTTTTTAAACTCTCGCATTAACTTTTATGATAATTTGGTAGAATTACAATCTAAACAAAAACTATATTTATGGTTGTTGCGATCTATTTCAAAAAAGTAAAATTAGGTAAACGAGTATTAAGTACTAACATTGTGTACAAAATAATTTCCGTAGAATAAAGACATCCTCGTTATAATAAAATGTTTTGCAAAAATTAAAAAAAAAAAGTTATAGTGCAACACCCAAGGAAGTCAAAAATGAGAAAACATTAAAACAGTCGAAATTGTGCTTTACGAATTTGTTCCCCGGGGCAAGCGATAAATAAAGATAATTGTAAGTTTCATAAAGCAAAAATAACAAGCAATATTTCGTGGTTAATATCAAATGTGTATTTACCTCAACTCTAAACACCTTGATGTGCGGAGAAGCAAGTGCAGCGACATTTTGTCGTAAGGGCTGTCCATCGTGAAGCACGGAGAGTCGCGCACCGCTCATCGAACATAGAAATATAGCTGGAGGACCAGGACCGAGGCATTCCTGCAACATGATTAAATTACATTACTTCTTCAGAACTAGGGTGCCATAAAAGTACCCATATGGTATATGAAATGTATTTTAGAAAACCTAAAGTCAATACGGAAATTTGTTTAATGTACTCGGAAGTTGTGAGGTTCTCTGGGGACTTTGGATAAAAGTTTGGATACTAGCCTGTACGTAATAAGAGAAGTTCCTGCTAAAGTACACTCTGTTGTAGAGACACTCGGTCGGCAGTGAATCATTTTCGTCGGCTACGTGGGGCAAGACGGTGGACGTGGGCCACGAAGGAAGTGATGATGTTACGTTATCGTACTCCTGAAAAATAACACAAATTAACATTGAAAACTTTTTGAGGCCGTTTTATTTAATATTTATTGTAACTGAACAATAACGTCTACCATTAAAAAAGTGCATAAAGTAAAAGTAGTTTCAAGAAAGGAACAAAATAACAATGTATGGATTAAAACCAGTTCACATGAAATGGTTTTAACACAAAATAATCGTGTTTCAACATAAGTTTCCAGACCCAAACAAAAATGTGATTTTTTAAACATTCTCTTAATAAGAAAGAAAGAATAAGAAAGTTCCGTCAGGACAATGCCTATGCTTACACCGTTGGATACATTTGTTTCTAAGTCAGAACTCCTAAAGATGTCATGGATTACCGTGTGATCAGTGGTGGGTGATGTGTCTTCATCAGGAAGGGTGTTGGGGCAGGTGAGGCAGCGGGGTGCAGGGGGCCAGCCGTCCCTTGGCACGCGCACACGATACACGTGACGCTCGCCTGCACGCTCCACCGCCGTGCCTATCACGTATCTGTTGGCGTTAATTAAGATATTATTATCCTTAGGTTTTAACGTGCAAGATTACCGACCATGAAACGTCAAACACCTGGGTTTTGACATCACGATTAATATAACATTTGGTTATATTTAATTTTGGTTAAAAGAAAACAAAAGCGTAATATACAAAGTTAGAATATCATAGCCTTAAATGAGGAAGTTGGTGCACCACCATGTTCATGCATACACTCTGCATTTGAGTATAGCCGAGATATGTTATAAGCGTGCGCTGTGTAAGGGCTAGTTTCTGGAACATATGTAAGGCGAATTAGTCGTTTTGTAGACGCGAATGAAAAACGTCTGTTCTTAGATGTGTCTGGATTTATTAGCCCATGGAGTTGGTGATCTTAAACATGTGGATAAGCTTTCTTACTGATTAGATTTTTGTCTCTAGGTGGAGTTTGACTGTGAGATGTTTAATACGGTTTGCGATAGGCTACTTTAAGAATTGAATTTTTGTGGCTTATTACTCTAAATATGCTCACAAATATCTCCGTTGTTCGTCCCATCCCACTAGTTGCGTGATTTCAAAGCTGCCCTGCGTCAATGTATTCCTGGAGTCCTTCCCCAACAATACAGCATGTTTCCATACGCCACCATGATCGGTGATGGGCATGGCTGTGAACACACCCCCTGGACCTCCGACTAAAGCTCCCCCGCCGCACCACCCGCACTCCTCATCCTCTGGGTCCGCACCAAGTCCCGACCAACGGGTCCCGTCTGTTTCGTCACGATATATCTGAAAAAGTTATGTACTAGGTATGAGGAATGCCAACAAAGTAGCGAGGGAAATCTTTTCTTGTTGTTTTTTTCCCAAAACTTTATTTATGGAGTTCTTAAGTGTGTTTTATAGATAATGAGAGTGGAGGTCACTTACATCCTGACAATTGTAGTGCACGGCACTGCAGATTGTGATGATGGAGACGTTCTGCGGCCGGTTAAGCAGCACTACGCCGATCTGCCGCTCTGATACCCAGCTGCTCCATCTTATATACCAATCTACAATAATATACTGATATTGGAACCAAACTTCTCGATTTTACAAAACTAAGGTTTGTCAAAGTTAAGAAATAATTTACCAAAATCAAATTTAAATAAACTGTTTGTGAAAAATATAGTTTTTAAATTTAATAAATGAATATAAAGTATACGTACTTTTGTCGACTTGCGGAGAAAATTGTATGGCGTGAGGAAAGAGAAACTTGGGCGTCTTGAGACTAACGACGTATATCGTCGCCACTGGATTATTGGTGGTGACCTGGAATTCACGTCACGTAGAAAACTCGAGATATAAAAGGTTGATTCTCAAACAGGGAAACGGACTAAGAATTGTACGGTACAAGCATTCCCTATTTCTAATCTAAATATTACCAAAAATATTTCAAAGGCTTAACGTTGTTTAACGCTCACCTGCGGGTACCTAAGCGTCCTTATAGTGGGGTATGGCGGTGGCTCGGGCTGATCCAGGCCGTACCATGGGTACATATACTCTGGCACCAGAGTGTCATTGTAACTGACGTACATCAGGGTCTGACCATCTGGACTGAACCAAAGAGCTCGATCGAGACGGAGCACTTCAGTCTCATATAGATAGTCAGGTACGCCATTGAACAGTACACCTGGGACACCTGAAGAGTGGAAAAAGATCAGATATCACTTTCATGACTACATAGTGTAAGATTACTGCTATTTTAGTTATTTATTGAAACAAAAAACCCCACAGGAGTTGCTATGCAAAGTTAAGTAATGTAATAATACCCACAAATAAATAAAAACTTTAAAACTATGTGTAATAACAAAATCTTTATAAAAACTAAGAGATCCACGATAGTATCTGTCCCTGATCATCAATGTCAGTGGTTAAGGGACATCAAACATAGCTTGTTGCTTCCTAGCAACATATTTCTTTAAACTTTTTAATGGAAAAACATCAGTACAAAAATAGTTAAGGGCCAACATTGGAGTGGGAACATAATTTGGGTTATTGAAATGAAAGATTGTTAAAATAGGCTTAAAAATATTTTCAAAGTTGAAGTAACGCGACAATTTTCTCCATAACACTAAAACGATCTGCGAACGCCCTTTGATTTGAAATCCAATATATTTGAAAAGAATAGCTTCGCTGAAGCAATAACTTTCGCTTTTTCGGGATATCGTGCAGTGCACGTACAAGGCCATAGGAAACTAAAAAGGTTTTCCTATTTGAATAAAGCCTCTTATCGAAAGGATTGGGACGAGGGCGGAATGTTTGTAATCGCCTAAATGTATTCTTAACATGTTTTTGTTCAAGGTACATTACGGTATTGGCGAAAATTAAACGATGCGAAACCAATATTACTTTTCTTTTCGGCCATCAATAAGGGTATTTACACTTCTTACATAATAATATCAGGTTAAACCATTCGGTCAAGCCGTAATACTTGCTGCATAGCCCACAAATTACAAAAACTAAACTGAAACAAATGATATTCTGTGTATTTTTTATTGCAATAAATAAAACACAATATTATCTGTATTAGTTACGTACCATTGCTAGTGATTCGACAAACTAATGCCTTTAGCACTTTGGGCTTGTAATAAATGTCATTATCATGAACGAAGACCAGCCCTGACCCAACAGGAGCCCACTCTGCGTGTTGTAGCAGTGGTGCGGACCGATCATCCTCTATTGGTGATACGGGAATTCGGTTCCTACGAAATACAAATTAAAACACTAAAATAAGAATGTTTCCTTTGCTGATTTTTTAATATTTGGCCATTTCTTCAGGATTTCTATCCTAGTGAAAAACATGCCTGACAAATTATAAAAACATAAAAAAAGCCAATAAGTCACAAATCATTTATTCATATAGGAAAAACAATGTACACTTATGAACGTCAAAAAAGAAATATACATTAAATGCTTCTAATTTTACATTTACTGCCAGTTCTCAAATCAAGGGCTTTGAACGGAAGAGAAGAACTGGCAATAAACTAAAGCCTACCTATTATATCATAGAAAATGACCTTGTTATAACATCGTAGACGTGATATCTGGCGAGCCTGGCATGCCTCCATCCCGGTCGTACATCAGATATGAGCAGCACAAACTTTAGGTCCGCCGACACTTTGAAGTCTACGGCATTCAATTCTCTCTACATGCAACAACAAAGAAATTAAATAATATTAAAACCTGTCAATGGTGACAACGTTTAATAATAATATACTTAAATAATAGCCTTATAATTCAGATACTTTTACATTTAAACACGTTTCTATTTCAATTTTCTTAAGTGTATTTGTATGACAAAGACCTCCTCCAAATCCCGCCAATCCTCTGCACTGTGCCACTTCCAGCCATGTACCACCTGCTGTTTCTTTAATTTGGTCTATTCCCCATATAAGTTTTTTTTCTTTTGCTGTATCTTGGGCACCAGTTTAGTACTTTTTTGCTTCACTTTTCTGTTCCCGAAAATAACAACAAAACAAATAACAACGCTTAATAAGATGATACAAATAAATTAAAAAAAAAAAACACTTATTTATTAACGCTTCGTTACATTTAAACAAAATCAAATAACATACATAAAAATGATAGGGGATGCAACGGGCGGCCTTATCGCTAACAAGCGATCTCTTCCAGGCAAAAACTAATAAAGAAATATGACGGGTAAAGTGCAAGAAGTGCATAACCAAATCTTATAAAAAAAATTATAGAATTTTAGTCTTAATAATAGAACAAAAATTAATAAAATAAACTAAAACCTAAAAATCTTATCTCACGACACATGAATTGCGATGAAGAAAAATATTTTAATTTTTTTTTAGCAAAAACCATTTTGAAATGGCAGCCCTATCTATAGACGTCGTGTATGTGACCGAAATAAATCGAGGAGCAAAATGTGGAAATCAGTTTTATTGAGTGCACACTTTGCATACAAATTCTGTACTCACTGTGATACAGTAACGAGAGAGAAAAATTTACATTATTTTCACAAATTATATGTTCTTGATAATTAATTTTTATGAATACGAATTAAGTTGAACTGGCACTTTTCTTAAATCTTAAAATAGATTAAAATGTTCTCAATTAGCAAAAATATGTACCTATAATATTATTTCTCTTAAATATAGAAGAAAAGACGGGATTAATCGATTAGATACAATAAAAAAATTCAAAGCGATTTTTCAGTGAAACTAGTACGTTTTTAATCCAAAATTTGTTTTATTTTTTATCGGTTCCGATTTAACAAGGTTTTATTTGAAAGCGTCCAACAATAAGGCTAGAGCCGTCTACATCCAGATAAATAGCCAATATTCTGTCAGCTAGACAGGGCATTCGCTGTCTCGGAAATAAAGTATGCTCATAAAACTAATATACACACTGTGCAATTTATCATTTTAATTGAATATTATTTAATTAATATAATAAAAATATAAAGAATATTTTTAATAAATTACGGTTATGGTTTTTGTGTACATACATTTTATTTATTTATATATTTGTTTATAAGCTTCTTATTATACAATATCTAATCTAGTAAATTACATTATACACAAAAGCCAAAAACTTAGTACACATTCAAACGTACAAGACAAATGTATTTAATAAATTGTAAGATGCATTGATCATTATAATATATTTAATATAAAAGAGGAATAACAAAGCCATTATAAAGGATACCAGAGTTTTAAAATATTTTTAAACCATTTTTAGATACATTTATATTTTAGTTAATATAAATTAATAGTAAATATTTAACGATTATAACTATTACAGCAATCTTTTGTATAGTTATAGTTATATTTTATAGAATATCCCAATTGGCCTCTGTAAGCATTGTTTCCTAACCTTATATACGAAATCTGGTAATTGACAGCCCTATTGGACGCGCTGTAGCAAAAACTTCCGCGCCGAACAGATTGTTTTAATTTTTCTACTTTTTCGTGGAGAATGAACAATTTATTTCAACGGGCGCCAAAGCTGTGGAAATAAAACTTTCCAAAACGATTTTTCTTGAGTGAATTTTAATCTAACTGCTATTCAAAGCTTCAAAACGCTTTAGTTTGTTGGAAATTTTAAATAATTTTGAAATTTTTGTATGATTCGAACTCTGACTCTTTGTCTTTAACTTAATTTTATTCCTTCGCTAGTTCTACGATCTTTGTGTATTTTTTGAAAGAACAATATCTTGGCTAAGTGTTTGGTATAATATAATCTCTAAAAGATAAGATTAACAATCTTAAGAGTGAACGGAGGTCGTCTCTCTTACGGTTAACTATTTCACCAATGCCAAGTAAATGATTCATTCATTTTCTAATAATATAAAGCCAATTCTGTTTTCTAAAAATTTTTTAAAATACATGTCTTTAGTGAGACATCTTGGAACATTACAATCTAGCTCAACTACTAATTACTTATTAGTCTTAATAAGTAATTGAATTTTTTACATAAACTGTCCAATAACTATTACAGTCTCTAACAAGGGGAAGACTCTGTTCTTGTTTTCAATTTTTTCACTTACCACTGTTTTGCAATTAAGACTAACGTGCACTAACGCTAAGGCACTAATTCAAATGGTTTTTTCCTTTTCAATCTTCTCAATAGGCCCGTGGTCTCAAGGGCTTGAATAGCCTCGACATTCAGGTGATGGTGGAGCCTATGTTCGTGGGCTCTAGCAGTCTTCTTTATTATTGTGGCAACGTCCTTTTCATTAAGGTTCCGATGACGGTCGTTATTGTAAATGTACCAAGGAGCATAGACCCTAAGTCGAATTGGTCCGGAAATACTTCAGTGGGCAGCTGATTCCACATAGTGGTTTTAGTGGTTCCAAAAACTGCTTTAAGAAACGCTCACTTGTGGAACGACGGACGTCGAGGCGATACGGATGGTAGTTGCTGACGTCCAAAGATGAAACTCAGCTGCAGATATCGAACAACTCGTTTGAACACTCTCCACTCTCTAAAGCAATGATTCAATAATAATACAGTACCATTTAATAATAATGCAATACCAAAACTCACCCTAAGCGTACAGTTATTAGGGACACCGGACATCACGATTTCCCGCACGTGACGCTCCATTTGGCCTAATGTACTGTAATGTCGTCTAACTAGACATTAACTGAATCATAATAATATTAAACTGTAATGCTATTAACATAAGTGGCCAGCGCAAGGTGTTTGTGACAACTTTCGCGTTGTCACAAATTTATTTATTATGATTTTGTTCCAAATTTACTTTACATCTAGAGGCGAAAGGCCGAGAGCCTGTAACAGGAAAAAATACTGTAATGTGTGTCAAAAAAAATCAATAAATCCAACAATCTTTAGAAACCTTGCTGTGTTAATTATTTGCTATTATTATTATTTTATTTATTCCTACATAATTATGTAATAGAATTGTATATTCGCAGATGCTTGGCAGAGACTTCTACAACAGCGAGTCCACTCGTGAGTTGTGTGCTGCGATATTGCGGGCTACTCGATTGTAAGGAAGTTCAATCGGATCTGGTTAGCGCTCGGCCTACTAAGTTCTCATGTCATTTTCACATATTTCCTTTCTATAACATATTTGATAAAGTATCTAATTGTCCTCATTTAAACATGTGTGATGTTTGAGAGCAAAAATAAAATAAAAACCGAAGTAAGTTATGTTACAACACACATTCGAACAAAAAGAAGCGTTAGACAGCTTTAGTTATTAAAAGGCGTTCACGGGGTAAATACAAAACGTTTCCGTCGACAACAAATGCTCGGCAAGATATATTGGAGATCTCTATCATCGCATAATATCCGCCTCTTTATTACATTGAGATCGAGAAAAATGGCGGCAGGTTGCCTTTTAAGATATTGCTTATTTGCACTTATCCAACCTTTTATTAGATTAGAGATACAACCTTTTTAAATGAAATCAGGCTGGTTGTAACATGCGATAAGATAAGCAATATATAGAATTAAAAAAAAATAATATATGCTACAATAAAAATAAATGAACTTAAGTTAAAAACGTTGATGGCAGGGCACATGGCAAGAGAAACAGAAAAGTGGAGCAAGAAAGTACTAAACACTACAATGTACAATAAAAGAAAAAGAAGAAGACAATTTAGAAGGTGGATAGATCAAATAAAGGAAACAGCAGGTGGCACAGTGCAGACAGGAATGGCAGGATTTGGAAGCCTTTGCCAAACCACACATATACCTAAAAAAAATGACACAGAAATATAAATGTGTTTAAGAGTAAAAGTATCTAAAAGAACTAATAGGCTTAATAGCATTATCTTAATATATATAAATTACGTGTCACGTTGTTTGTCGGTTCGGTAACCGATATCAATCAAATTTGCACACCGTGTCTAGTTTGATCCAACTTAAAAGATAGGATAGCTTACATCTCAATTTATACCCGCAATGTAATTTTATTGCAAATTATTTGTTTATTATTTGACCGAATTCTAACAGATGGCGCTGTGTGGAAAGTACCAACGTTTCACATAAGCTACAATTTAATGGCATAGCCACCAAAAAAGCATGGTGATCCCCATGACTGTTGTTCTCCTGCCGTTTCCTTTGAATAGTTTTCTATAATGTTATATAACAAAAACCTTAGCCACAGCAACGCTTGGCCGAGTCTGCTAGTTATTATATATTTATAAGATATTAAATATAAACTATATTACGTAGTCCTTACGAATTAATATGTTACGAGTATGTAGTTTATGTCAAGAAGTGGACAATGCAACTAAAGCTATATTTTCCAGACCTTTTTCATTTAAATACGGTAACAGTGACAGTGACATTGACTTACGAATGTAGAATTGTTCATGAGAAGTCTCGTGGTAAAGTTTTTCACGTTGAACAGCGTGAGGCCGCCCCATCGCGATCTGAACACTAATTCTGTGTCTGAAACAAAAAATATCAAAATTTAAATTAAAATAAGAACGGAAACATAATTAAATTCGTAAAGGGCTACTCCAATAGCATGGGACTAGGTCAATTGGTGTGAATTGTCTTTTAAAACAAAAAAAAACAAAAAATGTCTTTATAAAAATTTCTATCAAATATTGCGCAGTAAAACGTAGTTTACAGGATATATATCAAAAAATCAGTGGCACTAAGACCTTTTTAGGTCTGAGCCTCAGATTTCTGTATCTGTTTCATGATCATTTGTTAATCTAACAGGCAAGTGGGTGATCAGCCTCCTGTGTCTGACGCACACCGTCGACTTTTTGGATCTAAGGCAAGCCGCTTTCCTCACGATGTTTTACTTCTCCGTTCGGGCGAATGTTAAATGCACACATAGAAAGAAAGTCCATTGATGTGAACGAACCTACGACCTCAGGGCTGAGAGTCGTTTTTAATTAAAACAGATCTTCTGAAATCAAACGTCAATTATCTTAACTATACTGATAGAATTACAGCCCAATGATACCAAACTATTCGATATTTAATGACTTTAAACAAACAAAAGTTTTCAATTAGATGTTTCCAAAGTTTAATTACGTTTCCCAGTCAAGTCGGTTGTGAAGGCTAGCAAACTGTTGGTATATCAACGTCGTGTGATCCCGTTCAATCAATCACTCGCTTTGAATTAGGCTGGTTTCACATGTTACCTTTATTTAATATATTATGATCAGTCTTTTTACGATAGCAGTGTGAATGTAATTCTGTGATTTTCAGTCGCAAGATTCACAGACAGCAATGATTTTTTCATTAAAATTTGATGTGTCTCTGGCAAAAGTAATCAGACCCGCTTGCCTAAAGAAAATTATCAAACGAACAGAAAGAGAAAGGTCTTTTTGCGTTTTCTTATTATTTGTACGAGTATATATGTATAGTGGGAGTTTTCTATATCTTACAACTGAAAACAATTATCAAGTGTACTTTTTTGAAATATTGTCCTGTTCACTGTTTACATGTTTTATTTGCTTTGTTTTGTTCCATTCCTTTTGTCTATATGTCCAATGTATTTTTTATTTTATTATAGTTTTTTCTTACATTGGTTGCCTGGAAGAGATCGCTCGAAAGCGTATTGCCACCAGTTGCCCTCCTGTTAATTTAATTATGTCAATTGTATTATATTTCTGTATGCAACGAAGTATTAATAAGCAAATATTATTTCAACGTCAAATAACTTAGATTAGATCGAAACAACCTGAAAGGTCAGAAGAATCGTGTCTTTAATGAAATTAATAGAAACTTGTGTCGTAGTTTACAAAAGTACCTTTTATATATATCAATGTGATTATCCACCTCACTTCTATGCATAAACCTAATAAACTAATATTTCTTATATGTATATGCAGCCTAAACCCACCTCAAACGTCGTATATAACCGACGAAGCGGGAGTGGCAGCACGCTAATTGAGATTTAACGAATTTTTCTATTGCCTAATGGAGAAAGATTGCATGTAACAGTACAAGGTTAAAACATTCAAATGTCGAAACATGAATAATGCTTATTTTATGTTTCGATTATGTAGGTTCGAATATTAACACGATAACATGTTATTTGCCATTAAAACTGATGCTGGAAGCGTAGCAGCTTTATGTCGTCGTATCGTAGCTCAGCTACGCCGTAGCAACAAATCTTATTTTTATCATAGCGTCTATCGCGTAGCTTCCAAGTTTAATCAGAACAGTGTTCGCTTGAAGATCACAAGATAAACACACATCGTAGGTGTACCGTGAGATCTATTTATACATTTCACGGAATTTTAATTTGATGGATGAAGCAATAAAAAAGTACAGCGGTGGTATATTTATATATAGAAAAAATAACCTTTATAGGAATTTGTTTACAAGATTTCTTAAAGGTTATATATTATTTTAAGCTGAACATATAAAAGAAAGGTATATTTTTTGTAATAAAATTGCTAAGACAGCGAGATTAGAAGTCTTTATCTGGCCTATCTTATTGGTGTATTATATTTTAGCCTTTAAGAATTCAGTGGGCCGCAAAAATAAACGCTTTTCCTTCTTATGAAATTAAAAAATCTACAATCTAAATATCATATTTTATTTTATTATTATGGATATTTATGTCTTCTATAAAACTCCTTTCCTTTATTGTCAATAGTTATGTATACAGATATTTTTATGGCTCGATTTTTCATTTCTTAGGTAACATTAGCGAAGTTTTCATATGGATTTGTAACTTTTGAAAATATTCTGTAGCCTATGTTCATGAAGAATAAGAATAAGAATAGTAGGATTTTTGTGGTTAAAGAAACAATTTAATCTTTCCTCTTTTTAATTTTACTATAAATATATAAGCACACTGAATTTGCGATCGCTGTTGCATTTGTTAATATCGCTGATGAGTGGTACGAGTACATAAATCATGACAAAGACTTGTTGTAATGATTGTCAATTGAACCGGTCTGTTAATGTTGCCATTCATCAAGGGCGGCTTTGATTTAACGGTTCAACGACGTTTACAATGGTGCACTGGCAACATTGATTTATTACCCACGGCTACACGGTTTAAAGTGGTTTCTAAAAGTTGGCTTTTATGATAAATGGGTTTGCATCAGATTTATAAGTTGCGTCTTATAAGCGAAACTTTGAAATAGCGGACAAAGAATCTTTTTAGATTATAATAAACTTCTTTCACTTGTTACATATATTAGTTAATAATTAGATGCGCAAACCAAATGTTAGCAATCATCTTACACTTGTAGCCAATAAATTGTATAAAGTCAGTTTAGTACTAAATAAATTGTACTATAAAATTCTCGTTTCCGATAATGTCCAATAGTTTGACTACACTTATATTCTTTATAGGTAACATAAGTGTCACTTAAATTTAAGAACCCTTAAATAATTCAAGATAGTTTTTTGTTAGTCTAGCGTCACAACCCTACCCCTACCCCTCATTTAATGTTAGTTATAAGCTCAAGTTTTAAACGATTAACAGTGATACCCATCTTCAACCAGCAACAAAGAGTTTCATTTAACATACATTTGAACATCCCTCCAACTTAACTGACTACACTATGAATTATACATTAATTCTTAATTAAATAAATACATAAATATCGGGTGACTATGCTACGATCTAAAACTGAATTTTAGTTTGTCTTGGGCAGGACACAAATTTCAACGGTAAAGTACTTTCATTACTAGGTTATCTATATAACACATAGTAAAAGTTTGTTACATTATAAAAACGATAGATTAATATCGTTTTTATGTCAATAACTACTTGCTTTACGTTATTTGAAAAAATCTAGACAATCTCATTTCATCAAACGGGGTCAAATAGCAGGCAGTTTTATCTTAATCTTCCATATACTTTAGTAGTATCTAGATAAACATTCGTTATGTTGCGACTAAAACGAATAGCTTTTGAAATAAAACACGTAGTATAGAAAATTCTTACTAATTATTCGATTAAACTTAAGGTTATAACTAACCATTAACGTTAATTCATGTATACACATGGAGTTGTACGAATTTGATTAATAGATTCTTATGACAACGTCATAAGAAAATACTGATGGAATGGTTGCATTTTTCAAAAGAAAATTTTAATTTTATTTTTTGATAGATGTTTTGTATGGATATAGAGAAGGAGGTAAATTGAAATCACAATTGAATTGATCGATTACAATATAATCGATATAATACGATATATACTTTATATACAATAAAGATGTCGAACGCTGCCGAACGTGGAGGCCGATTGTGCCTCTTTGTCGCTCGTTCCGCGCTCTCGCTTGCACTTCAAGCCTCAAATGGAACGCCTCAGAGCGAGGTAACGCCGCTTGCGTCATGTTTTTTCGTGCGTGCAGCCGGCTCCTTCAAATTATAAGATGTCAGTATGTCACGTCAAAAAATTCCAACTCAGGTCTAAAAATTTGTAAAAATGGATTCCATTTGACAAGTTTTATGGGTATTGCTTACAGTCAAACTGCTGTTAATAACTTGAGTCGATCGTACGAGATATATCATAAGGCTATATAATAGAAAATAAAATGAGCTTTTAATCGAGTACTACGTAATCAGGATTACATTAAGTCCATGTCATTTGTTTAACATTAGTACACGACCTCCGACGGAGTGAAGGCCTCCTTCAAATTCTTCCATCTCTCATCCCCGCTATCCTTTTTATTCCATCTTCCCAGGTTTCTGGTAGGCATCCTCATTTTTTTCTTCCTTTTGGCCATTCCACATCCAGGGTCTTTTTGATCCATCTGTCAAACAAACGCAGGCAATGTGACCGGCCCATTTCAAATTTATCTTCTTTTAATGTATTACGTCATTTGTTATGTTTATAAGGCTTGGTATTACACCACTTTTGACTTTGTCTTTAAGTTTTAATCATATAAAACGACATAATGTATGAAATTAGCAAGCAATCTTAGCAATCGTTCGTTTAGTGATAACATTAGCAATAATGTCGGCCCACTGACTGCCCCATAACCTCCCCAGCTTACGAGATTACACAGATTTAAAGCCAAGATTAAAATCATCTTGAAATGAAATCGAAATAATACGTGTGGATTACGCTACGGCCGTATAACAGCATGCTACTACGCGGCTACGTAATTTCATTACGTTTAAGTATTTCAGTATTTATGTAATATTCAAATTAAAAAAATAGTATTTTTTTTTGTTTAGATCAGGCGTTAATATTATATAGCACTCGTGTATACGAGTGTTTTTAAAGCGGTTTGTGAAACTTCTTTGGCAAACTAATTTTTAAGTCTTGTTCATATAGAGAAAAAGGAAGATATGTTAAGAATTTAATTAAAATTAATACAAACTATAAACGTATTTTTTTAATTTATTTCTTCGATAATAAAAACACGTGGCATTTTAATTTACAATTCGTCATTTGAGATTACAAAAATTATTTTGCATAAAATATAAAAAACTTATATATTGTAAATTCTCTTTACGAAATTTTAATTTTAAAAATAGATTTTCCGCCCTCCTCACTCCCTCTCCACCGGTCTCAATCGCTCTCTCTCTTTTCCTCGACAAAAACGCTGCACATCTTCGTGACGTTTCCATAAAAATTTACTTTCATGCGCCAAACTTCTTTAAGTTTTACTTCAAAAACTTAAAAATTCACATTGTTTAAGTTAGTTATATTATAATAATTAAACAAAAACCCAAATTATTTGAAAAAATGATTTTCCTTTCTTGCTTAAGCCTTTATGACAGACGCCTGAAAAAGTTAGTTTTCTCTGTACTGTTATTTAGCGCGCAGCGTAGAAACTCAAACATGTACTATATTCAGCCATGTGCAGGTTTATCGGCAGCTCAAGGCTGTTGTCGACAGAAGAAGACATTACAACGAGTCTTTTATTGCACCTTCTGTTTATTTACACACTTTCAATTAATGGGAACCATAACCTCACTTATTAGAATGTTTGAAGGTTGATAATAAAAGAAGATGTAGCACTCAAAATATTAACTCTAAATAAAATCAGCCAATTACGGCTTGTACTCGTAGTTGCAGTAATAGACTTGGAGTCTTCAAGTTATATTGATCAATGTTTCCTTTGGTTGCGTCCGATAGCTATATAATATTCTACTTTGCATTCGCAATCAAATTGCCGAGTTTCTTAGAAATATGGTTTGTTGGATATTGAAATCAGTTTTATTGTAGACTACTAGGAACTTGTAATATATTGGTTGTTTTAGTTTTGATTCAATGCTACATTTCTGACTTTCCACCATTGTGTTTTTTTCACAATTTTAAACTTTATGTTAAAATATTGACTGTACAAAACATTTTAAAGAAAAGTGGAACGTTGCATGACATTATAATTTAATAATATATTCATATTTGAACATTTACATGATTTGTCATTGAGGTATTATTATTTGTGCCACTAAGAACGGTTCGGTGACCGTTGAAACACAATTTTATATTCAAATAATAAGAGAAACATAACTCGAGAACATACCTCGTTTTAAGTTTTTTTAAGGCACACGATTTTCAGTCATAAGGATGTGGGAACAATTAGAGAGGTTAGACTGATAGTATACTACTGATACTTTGCCTTTACAATAGTTCACAAAACGCGCAATCACTCACTATAAAATTATAACATTGAGGACGTAACTAATAAGGAATATAATTGGCAAAAAGTAATAAAAATAAAAAATGCGTCTGGCATAATCCGATCGAAACAAAGAAGCAATTCAATGTGACGAACATAACAGATCACCCCCATCAAAATTTTAGAAAATAAATAGGTATGTATTTCAAACATTATTATATGATACTTAAGGCAACAATAGTATGTTAACATGATCAATCGTGACTTATGTAATTCTTGTATGTATTTCATTTTCTTTCGTATAACATCGCGATTCATGAATCCGTGAGATTAGCATTTTAGTTTTTTTTAAATTTTGTATTACTTTAGATTAAGGTTCTATATTTTTTATATATCATTTGGTTATGCACTTCTTGCACTTTACTGGTCATATTGATTTTTTAGGTTTTTCCTTAATAGTTGCATCCCTTATATTTTTTATTTGTGTTTTTTTTAATGAAACAAAGTGTGTATAAATAAATCTATTAAAGGTAATATATAATCCGATATTATAAACTCAAGAGAACGATTACTTAAAGCAATTAGGCGGTATATAACCGGGCCGGCTACCCGGCTATTAATTTTACGCGGGTCGTTTGACCCGGGTAAAACCCCCCATCGGGCAAAGACGTGTCTCACACAGTTCTATTGCAATAAAGGGAAATTTACAATCTTTTGTAAAATTAAAAACTATTTCTTATTGTACCTGTAATGTCGGCGTTAACATACAATTTATTCAAACATCAAAAGTAGATAAAAAGCTGTGATTTCCTGACAGTCAAAGTGTACATTAGTGGGATTACTGTCAATGAATCAATGGCCTAAAAGCGGATGCTGGCGTGAGGCCAGATACGACTGCGGTACTGAAGCCTGCGATGATGTAATTCCGGTTATAGATTGTTTTTGTTTTTCTAGAAAATTACAAAACAAGAATATGGAATAAGGATTATTATTATAGTCGTAATATTCTAGTCTTCTTTCTGTCAGTCAGTGTTATTTATTATTTACTAAAAGCTAACAATTGGGCGATCATAAATTCAAAAACATATCTAATAATGTAAATCATTCTCAACTCCACTTGAACACACAAAAAAGTTCATCAAAATCTGTCCAGCCGTTTAGGAGTTTAATTACGAACACGTGCACAGCAGATTTATATATAAACCAGCTGTTTATTAATTGCTGTATAGATAAATAACCTAGATACCGACTGCAGCGCCGTATGCCGGGTTAGTCAAAAATAGTGAACCATAACTACAAAAAAATTGATTATTTATTTCAAATGCACATTTGGTACTAATAAATTGATTCCTAAATTAAAATAGATACTTTTATCGCTTCTGGTATTTAAAGTAGATACAATTTGTCTTTATCATTTGGACAAATATTATTTTAATCCTGCGCCGACGAAGTCAAGGGTACCAGCTTGTCTTACAATAAATATGATTAGTTTTTCTTCTGCTATTAATTTTTTTATGTACTCGATATTGGTGAATTTGGAAATAATATTCCTTTTGTTTTTATTTTATCACTGATATTAAAGCATGAATTGTTTTAACAATAGCAAAGTTATATTATTTTATATACTAAAAACGTTCAGAGACTATAGTCGTAAAAGTATAGTATTATTGTCGAATTTTTATTCGAATAATAAGCAATATTTAGGAGCCAATACAGTAACGGAATCGACAATAGCGAAATTCCGATATGTGCCAACTGTTACCAGATTCAGTGAGGCAGACCGCCGCCATTTTGCTGACCGATACCCGGGAAATATTTCCAATAACTTAAAAATAGTTTTAAGTTAACAATAAGCAAGTTCATTATAATCCTGATTATAACTACAAATTAATAAATTAATTTAACTAAAAGTAAATACAAGTAGTACAAGTATTTTCCATACATTAAACGTTACTAGAGTAAGATTTAGATTCAACGCAAACTATAGCTTATAAGTATACTATAATAAACTCGCCTGTGAATGTGCTCTGAATCAAATCTGCTTATAGCTACACTTGCTACTTTGCTTCAGTTATCCCTCGAAATGAAACCTGGCTCAGTTGTCGGGGTTAGTGCTACACAGCTGCTATAAGTTATGTTTCAGTAATGCATTCCGCTTGTAGCATCAAATAAAATGGAAGATCTATAAAAAAATTATAACCAAACTATATTTGTTGTGTATCTAGCGGTGTTGGGAACCTTCAGCTGAATATATGGTAACACGAGTACTGAGTACGTTATAACCGCAAACTAACTGTGGGAACAGCCACATGACGAAGTATTGTGTACAACATCACAGCCGGTTAGTGGTCGGTATACAGGCTTCCGATTTCCTACATTAAAGAAAATGCGCCGTCAAAGCCTACTCATGTGGAATGTGTTGTTTCTAACATTTAAGTTCCAAGTTAGATCGTCGTTCAACGCGACAGTTCCAGTATAATTAAAAGTTAAGTTAAACTTGAGATTCAAATATTCTATAAGTCTTCAAAATCAATTTGACGTTGTTGGATAAGTCTGAATATAACTGGTGCCTAAGGTACAATAAATGCAAAAGAGGAAGACAATTTAGAAGTTGGAAAGACCAGATTAAAGAAACACGGCAGAAAGTGGCACAGTGCAGTCACAAGTATTTGGAGGAAGTATGCCAAAAAAGGCTATACAGATACGTAGGAATTAATGAGATAGAAATAAAAATGTATTCATTATAATTATTGACCTTTAGGGATAAAACCGTTTTAAAACGAAAACAGGTCTTTTAAACTTGAATTGATAAAAAAATATATATTGTACATACCCTCTCCTATATACAGTCCTGAACTCGGATTAAATAATATAACCACGTGAACACGGGTAGGCTTTTGTTGAAAAACAATCGCGAACTTTGCAAAGGTTCAACAATTGAGGCTTGACGGCCTATTGGCTCGGAAAATTGGTGAATTCCTAAACAAAAAGTCCTAAACTTTCGCTTTATAGCAAAGAAAATTGCTTTTTTCGTTTTGAAATCACGTTTTTTTAATCCAACTGTCTGTTCTGTGTGAATGTTATTATAATCCTATCAGGAAAGTGGTATCGTACTAATATGCACTTCATCAATTCGACTTAGAGTCCTTCAAGAAAAGAGCGTATGAATTCTTAAAAGGCCGGCAACGCACTTGCGAGCCTTCTGGCAATGTCAGTTTTTATGGGCGGTATCACTTAACATCGGGTGACAAAAAAAATTACCTGTTGTTGTTACCTATTTTTAAAATTATGCATCTAGACATATTTTTTTGTTTTTTATTATATAATTTGGATACTTACGAAGGGTTCAATGTAAGGAGTTTCGAATGTACACCCATATATAACATTATGTATTTTGTAAAAAAAAATAAATGATTAGCTTTGCTTGACATAGTAAATTTTGGGTCTAATCATATCAGGTTTTCCACAGTGCTTTCAGTACAGTGTGTTACGCGTACAAAATAAATAAAACTTATTAAACGGGTAGGTATAGACGCAATTTGACATTTCCAGTTTCAGCAGTCGCGATCAGAGATTCTAGTAGTGAAATATCTACTTGCTGTGTAAAAAAATAGCAACTAAATTCATCCCTGAAATCCACTGTTACATTGAATAATTTATCGAACAATAGGCCTAAGAATAACCCTTTTTCGCCCAAAACGTCAATCACTTTACAGCAAACCAAGTTTTTTGATGTCGATTTCGTGTTTGTGGCTTAGAAATATATTTGAACCAATTTCGGATGAAACTACCCGCCGGCCGCATTATTCATTCTGTCAGTCCATCTGTCTGTCCGTATGTCTATTTTGAATATTGCTACACCTTTAAATTTATTCCTCGCCCAATGTTATTTTATATGCACAAAAAAGAATTTGAATGTGTGTGGGATGTTAAAAGAGCATGATACAACAACGTTTCGCAATTAAAACTACCTTCATTTAATGGGAATATAAGAATGAATGTATTTTTAACTTTTATGTCATCTAACACACAGCTCTGTTAGAAATGGGGGCGGGTTGACCTGGTGTTAAGTAACGACCGCCTACAAAACGCCGGCAATGCACTAATGACAAATGCATTTTCGTTTTTTTAGAAAAAAAAATTGGTTCACTTACCCGAAGATACATTGGTTCCGAAATACTTCTACGAATAGCTGGTCTACAGGTCTGGTGTGTCGATCGGCCCAGGTGGAACGTGACAAGACATGTTTTTTTCGTTGTGCAGCCGGCGCGCGGTCAATTTCAAAAATCATTTAATCATACAGGTAACACATTGTACACTTATGACTCGTCAGTCATCGATTTATAAGACGTTATCACGTCAAAAACTTCTATGAAATAATTTAATGGTGGTTTTTAATTTTGCAATTATACAGCTTTTTCATCAATTCGTCTAACATACATAAAGGTTCTGGAAAAAATAAATTTCCCAAATCCATTGAGGCTCAGCGAACCCAAAAATGATGAATACATGCAAACTGGGTTGAATATCCAAGATAAATTATTGCTAAAATTTGTTTTAAAATATTTTCGCTTTGTTGGAAGGTGTTTTGATCTAATAGAAATAACATTATTAAGACTTTCTTTAAATAACGCTGAATATTGATTAATACTATAAAAATCCGTAAAGATAGACTTGGAATCTCCTTTTTTATTGGAAGAATTTAAAGTGGTAAAAAGGATATAAATTGACATGAGGTTGTATGGAGTGTACCCATTTTACCCAGTTATGTATCCAACTTTGTTGGTTTTGGGTGTGGTATACAAGAGGTTAGAGGTAAGTAGGGACCTTACTATTACATTAAATTTCTTTAAGAGGTAGAATATATAATGCGAAAATGTTGAACAACCTGGGGCTGCGAGTTCCAAACACTCGGCGTGGTAAGCGGTCGCAATTGCTCGCGGTGCCTTGAGCGCGTACAAATTAACTCAGAAAAGCGCCATTTACGCGTGTATTGCGCACTCTGAATATTATTGCACAGGAGACGGATATATTTAGTTGCACACTGGCTTATTTCTCAAGAATTGCATATTTATAATTTGTTATAAATAGGTTTATTTTTTTTAATTTCTTGTTTTGTTTATATTATGTTCTTAGTTTAATTTTTATACTAATAAGTTTTTTATTGTATTGGTATTAAGTTACTTTAAAAATAGGAAATAAATAAATACCTTTTATATACTTCACTCTGTTTTATATATTTGTTAAGTTCCATTCTTAGATTGTCATAATGTATATTTTCTTAAGGGTTTCATCTACCTAGTTAAATCCGTTACAAAGGCGAGTATCATCTAGTTTTCACGAGCAAACAACTAGGCTCTCATAATACTCGTTGAGTCTGTTTGAAGTTAAAATGAAAAATGGCTTAATGAAAAATGAATTGTGGACTGAAGCCGTTCGGGACGCAATTTCATTATTTTATAAAAAAAATTAACACACTGCAAATTTTCATATTTTAGATATAATTATAAAGTAAATCCTCTTTGTTTGTTAAACAATTATGGCTAATTTTAGCATTTATCCACCTCAAGCCAATTTAATCCCAAGCACGCGAAGTTAAAAAAAGAAATGAAAAAAAAAAACAAAACAAAACAACGTGATCAGTGCCATGGATTTTTCTTTCCATGCACAGTTAAAGCATCTCTCGTAACAATGAAAGGGAAACCGAGATTTTTTTACACCTATACATTAAGAATAAAGATAATGATATGGAGAAGTCCAAGGATTTAGAAGAATTTCACTACTGGGTAATAATGCACTTAGTTACGTGCTTTATCTTAATTCCAAGCAAAGCCTGGAACCTGCACCTGTTAGTGTAAAAAGTGAAAGTTGTGAAAAGTTGAAAAGTCACGAAGTAACACTTGAAGATAATAAGTTATCGGAAATGAAGAAACTTTCGGCACGTTTTGGGAATTTATTACTTTCGTCGATATAATAATGAACCTAAGTCATTTTGCGTAAAGTCTTTATAATAAATGTCCCCGATGTTAAAATTAGATTGTCTATTTGAATAACTTAAACTCAGCAGAGTTACAAGCTTCGTTGATCATTATATCGTAAACCTGGGTCCGATTCCAGGCTTAAGACAGACGCCGAACTTTTTATATCAATAATGGGCCACAACATATAGATAGACATTTTTAAAATTTGCTTTCGTAAGCTAACTAAATCTCATTGTCAAATCCATTTCTGTAGAAATTTAAATCCATGAACATCGCGTACATAGAATCACAAAGACACTGCTTCAAAGCCAATAATTCCCCTAATGAAAGATAACTCCGTCGTTTTTTAACAAAGACCGTTTTCACGACTAATTTTCACATTCTCACTACTACAGAATCAATTCCAAATCTAAAACAAACCTTATTTCATTCACATAAAGTATAATTTCCGTTACCGGAAATAAACAAAATACAATTTGAAAATGTACCTTATAGCATTACAATAGAGGAGTTTTGTGTTATAAAAAGTGTTGTTGAAAAATGAATCGTAAGTCATAGATAATACAGCTTAGTATCGCTCGATGTTCCTGGTTTGCTCAATGCCTTTGAGACTAGGGCTTGAAAGTTATCTCAGGTCTGAGAAGTAACTCGAGTGCTAAGCGATTTTACTAGACTGAGCAACACACAATTCACAATATAAATATTCGTTTTAAAATGAAAAATAGTATTCTGTCGCACTTTTAAAAATCTCAAGCGTCTAAATTTAAAAAGGCAGCAAGTCATTCGCGAGGCACCTGGAGGTGAGACAT